TTATCTATCTATTCTTGCATCCTCCATTGCACTCAAAATTTTAACGAATTTTACCAAAAGCATAATTGGTGTGAAAAAACTATACCCAAGGTAAATAATCATAGTGAATAGTGAATGACCCAGTTGACTGTTTGAGCCTCCAGAAAGTTAGGAATTTTTAGGGAATGAAAAAGATTAGCTAAAAAAAGGCTAAAAGATGGATCATGATTGAGCAATTACACTAGTGTCTTTCCAGTTTTCATCCTTTTTTTTATGAAAATTGCGACAGTGAACAGAGCATCTACCTCTCTCTTTTTTCTGATCTTTTATCTTTGGAAAAGGGAGCCTTGGCGATGGGAGCATATAACTGCCAGCTGAGCGATGTCAACTACAAGTTGATCAGAAAAATTGAGTCCCATTTGAGCTATTTAAGTAGTAAAAAGATAGTCTATTTACAATGCAATGCATAGAAAATAATGCTAAATACAAGTGGAAGGGACATGAAAAAAGAGTCATGGAAGCAAGGGAGATATATTTTAATTAAGTGTAGCTGTCATATATACATATTGTACACAAAAGACTTTTATTGTGACAATTTACTTTATATTCAATTGTTGGGTTCAAGTCGTTCAACTCTTTTCCAATTGCACTAATATTGAACTCCAACTTTACCGTTCATGTGGTCAAAAGGTACTGGTGCAATTGGACACTACTAGAATCAATTTTTTGAATGAGTCGTTTCACTTTGATATTAATCCATGGACAGTCTCATCTTTAACGTGCGACAATTATATTTGATTCACAATACCTAAATAACAATTGCTTCTTAATGATAGAGTCTTTGAATATCAGAATTGGTGGCGGTTTAAGTTGATATGGGACTGGCAATATAGGTGTACTTGGAAGACATTAATCATATCACATGACCAACAGGATCCTCTTTGGATTTGTTTGGTGAGGATCCGTTCATCGTGTCCGTTCATCGTACATCATACAGTCAGTTTTTGTTAAGTATTGTTCGTGTTTAATTTTAAATAAAAATATTTTAAAAAATTTCTAATCACACCATGTACAATAAACGAACAAAATTGACGAATCGCTGGAATCCTCACAAAGAGGATCCGGCGAGGATACGGTTTCATCACAGGAAGTGAAGTTTTGTTGGGCAGTTTTTATCTTTTGATTTGATATGCCTCCTAATTGTCCCTTCTAAATTAGAAACTGACAAGGAGTATCAGCTAAAGTCCGTTGGCATTTTTATTATTTCCACTTGTTGGTTGAGAAGACCACTTCCACTTTGAAGAATATTGAGACAATGAAAACGTCTACATTAGTGCCATTATTTGATCTTTGATTTTAATTTAAGTACTGGAAACACGGTTTCTGTATTATATATATGACAGACAACAATGTTTTTGCTTCTCCATTTTCTGAAGCAAACATTTACATCGTTTGTATTGGCCTCTTGCAAATCCAGGTGGTGATTATTTGTTGAAGCAAGAGTTTTGCCTTTTCGTAGTAAAACAGTTTTTCGAGTAGGAAATGATTTCCGCACTTATTTTTCTTCTTCTAGCCTGCACTCTTTTCTTTTGTTCTAAATTGTTGGATTGAACAAATTAAAGGAGAACCAATGAACAAAATGAAAGAATAAATAAATGGAAGTGCAAAAAACATCTCCTTCATCTTTAATTTGAAATTTCACCAAGGAGACTCTTAAAAATAGAATTCTCTATAAACTTTCTACCGCGTCATGTTTTTGGCATACTATTTTATAATATTGGCATAATATTGACAATAAATTGTGGAATGACAAAAAATCTATGAAAAATCATTTTTTTAAGAATCTTCTTGGCATTTCTCTTAAATTATCCAAAGTCACATTATTTTATATATTTTATAAGATTCGATATGCGCAACTTTGATCTTCCACAATACCATGTGTTTGAAACCAATGATTTATATATTGCCATTAAAAGGTCGTACCCAGTGCACAAGTCTCCCGCTTTAAGCAGGGTCTGGGAGAGGTAAATATCGGCTAGCCTTACCCCCATTTATGGAGAGGCTGCTCCCAAGTCTCGAACCCGAGACCTACCGCTCATGGACGAAGGCACTTGCCATCGCACCAAGTGCGACCTCTTGATTTATATATTGCCATTACCAAAGCTAATTATTAGCAGAAGCTGAAGAGGACGACGAAGCAAAGGCTAGCACTAAATTACTAATAGGATTCCTCCTTGACTACATCCACTACTACAAGTCAAGAACTGCAATTTGCAAAAAGTGGATTAATAATTTAATCTGCTTCTTTTGCTACAGACAGTACTACGTGATGTCGTGACAGCTTCAAAAGTTAGTGATCTTATTCAAAAGACATGTAGTCCCACACTGGAGAAGTAAATTGACCCATCAAATTCCAAGATCACAAAAGCCATTTCGAAAAAGAAAGGATGCGTATCTGTTAATTATTAAGGAGCAGAAAAGAACGAGAGAAAAATTGCAACATGACAATACAAAAAATTGCACAGAACTGCAGCCTAACAGCTGAATTTTGTAATAATTAAACCAAGACTCGGGTAATTTTTAGGAAAATATTTGTTTTATTTGTTTGGTTCATGGATGGGTTATATACGTACATGCATGTATTGAAGCAGCTGCATCCTGCACGGATGCATATGCAAAAAGCCTGTCGTTCTTTGGGCACGCACAGCTCTCGATTAAAAAGAAAATAGTGCTGCAGAGTCCCCAGTACGTCCAATGTGGTTCTGGTGCAGTACTGGTCGCTATGGATGGATGAGAATATGCATATATGTTAATTAATATGTTATATATATAGGGTTAAGTCCACGTTTGGTTGTCTCTCCACCAGGAATTGAGAATATCTACGGACTTTCAGCAAATTCAGAGATTCAAATTACTCATTTTAAATCTTACGTTCTATTAACTCTTACACAAACTAAAGATTTTGATCTCTCTTCCTCTTTTGAATGACCTGAATCTCAGCATCCACTAACTACAAACTTCGATATTCAAAGAGGATATGATTCCTTCACCACACGTTTGGTTGTCTCCACCAAAACAATACACACACACACACACACACAAAAGTTTCTTCCAAATAAGATATCGAAGTGGTAAGTCCTTGGTTGTCTCCCCCACGAGTGCCGGACTGCATTTTCCATCCCTTCCATTTGCGTTGCGGGAAATGATATATGCAAATTCTTGTTTTATTCTACTAAATCACAATTAGATTAGACTGTGTTTGGTGTGCTTAATTGCTATCAATACTTATTACGGATCCAAAATAAAGAAAAACTCAGCTTACCCAAACATAACATAAACCTAAACCTAATCCTAAATTTTGCAAGGTCTTGTAAAACTGAGTAAAAGCAGCATGAATGAAAATCGGAAAAGTCAATACTGTCCTTATTGTTTCTATAAAAGAGATTATATATTTCCTAGATTCACAAATTAACCCTAGAGTTATTTGTCGTGTTTGACTATATTTATACAATGATCAGTGATTTTTACTCATTTTTTTCCTGCTCTCGTCACCTTGTAAGTGATGGAATGTCCTAATGGTTAGATTTTTTTTTTTTCTTCAATCTATTGCATCTTGAGTTCAAACTTTATTTATCACTTATAAATTATAACAAAAAAACTAGATAGAACGCGTTTCACAAAATAAAAATAAAATAAAGGCTAAATAAAAAAGAAGAAACTAGTCCGAAAGCAAAGGATGACAAGGTTTCTAGGTCGGTAAGGCCCTTGAAGAAAGCAAAGCATGGCTTGATCCCACTTCATTTTTTATTCTGTTTTTGGGTCGAGAACTAAAAGCCCATATCTTTAACATGTTTAATGAGTTAAAAACTATTTATAGGAAAAAATAAATGAAATCAAATTTGGGTGCGTAAAAGGGAGCGCATCTGTTCAATACGATGTTCCTACAATCAATGCAGATTAAGAATCGAAAACTCTAAATAATAAGAGCTTCAAATATGTGTGTATATTGAGAAGAAAAAAAAAGGTTGGTTAAAGATGAAAACTTAAAATAACAAACAATTAGCACAAGTAACATGCTTTTTGAACGTCAATCAAAACTAAATTATAGAGATAGACAAGTCTAACAAGCAAAAGACTAAAATTATAAAGTTAGAATATGCAATTAGATAAAATAAATATGGGGTCATATGTTTTGAATAAAGACTATGATAAAATTCCAAAAGAAATAACTTTGTTTGGCCTGTGTGTTGTGGGTTCCCACCTTGATGAAAATAATGGAAAACCAAAAGAGATAATCTTATAAATTTGAAATATCAAAATTAGATAAAATTGCCAAAATTATTTAAATAATTTCGGTGTACCACAAATTCAACTCTAGTTATTTTGTTGAATAATCAAAGTCGCTTAGACGACTCATGACATTTTAATGTAGTTTTTTTTTTTTTTTCGAGTTTTGTGCTTGATAAAAGTTGAAATTTCACTTTAAAATTAATTATCAATATGGAAAGTAGTTAAACTTAATTATAAATCTATACAAGGTCTTCTTTCCATCAATGTAAGATTCATTCTTTATACGCCCTCTCACATGCAATGAATTTTCAACTCTATCATGTGAACAACACAAATGGTATGATATAAAGCGTGTGTGCCCGTTGAATGTGAGATTCATTTTTGATGGTGTAAAAAAATATTATTTACTCACATCCCCTAGTAAGAATAGATATGTTTTGGAAATAGAAATAAAATAAAATCAGATTTTTTTTTTATTAAGTTTGGAATGTTTTCCCGCCATAAATATTTGGTTGTTCCGCTGTCAGGGATGGGACGCCGCTGGTCCATCACGCGTTACGGCCCCGCCTCTGAGGGCCTAATTATAGGAGTAGTTCGTTAAGTTACGAAAATACCCATTGACAGAAATCACGATACTGAAAAGAAACGGCCGGTGGGAGGGCATTTTGGGCACATAGAAATCTGTGACAGAATACGCGGGCGGCAAAATTTTCTCGCTGTCCTCAACCAATGTATCTATTTTTCATTTTGAAAAAAAGCCGCTTTTACCTCAAAACGCAAAAGCACCGATTAATCGCTTCGCTTATCCTTCTGATTCGGGCAGGAATTGGATCTGGAGCTCTCTCTCTCTCTCTCTCTAAGTCTCTTCTCCTCTGTCGCAGCAAAAGGTCAGTGACAGTGAGCTCACTCTTCCTGTTGATCTGTCGATTCTCCTTTTCGGCTTTTGAGTTTGTAGAATCGATTGCGTACAGATTATGCTTTTTTTCGGAATCGCTTTTTGTTTTAATTCTTGCATGTGGTTTGGTGACTTATCTGCTGCAATGGCTGATTCGATGTTTTCGTTTAAATTACTAATTAGAAATGTATAGGAATTCTTATCTCGGATCTGATTCGAGATTTGATTTGATTTGATTTGATTTTGCATCTTTTCCATGTTTATATGTGTTTAAAAGAGTACTTAATTGCTTAATTGAGATTTAAACTAGCAACCCTTGGTTGCTCAGAGTGGTTAAGAGCGCTTATCCTTTCCGCCCGACGTTCTGTGTTTGAATCCCCTCCAAAATTTCGCTCGTGTATAAATTAGGAGAATGCTAGCTACCTTCTCGGTTCACCTCTTTCATAGAATTTCCCGTTCTCAACCGAATCGGAGTCAGAATTTAGACATCTACTAATTTTTCCTGTTTTTTCTGAGGATTTATGTGGTGTGTTTTTCATCATTTGATGCCAATAGATGGTTGATATGGAGAGAACAGAACTGAAGGAGTCAGATTCAACTGGACTGGACAATGGTATCACCCCAGATCGTTCTACTTCTATGTGGCTGGTAGAAAATCTTGAAGGTAAGTGGCTATTTTCGAGCCCGTCTGGTTTGTTGTTCTCTGTCTTGCTGATTATATATTGTTCCTTACTGTAATGTTTCTGTGTGATTTGTCTTAATAAGTGTTCAAAATGTTGGTTCTTACAGAGATGGACCAGAGGATTAAGCAAATGGTGAAGCTGATCAAAGAAGATGGCGATTCTTTGCCAAAAAATGACGAAGCGTTTTATCAGAAGAAGCCAGAATTGGTTGAGGAATTTCACAGAATGTATCGGTCGCTGGCTGGATGCTACGAACACTTGACCAAAGAAGAACATAAGGGGTTGGGAGATTCTGAATATGGTTTCGACCAAGGCTCTCCTCTGTTGACTCCTGATGCTAAACATGGTCTGCACAAATCCGGCCATCAAGTTGTTGGGTTAGGTATATCACCAAGCTCAGATGGTTCTAGTCCAGCTCTTTCTTTAAAGAATGGCAGCGAATCATCTTCCTCGTCATCATTGGGATCCGAGTCAGAATCTCTTAACTCCCCCGTCAGCAATTACTTGGTTCCACCTCCGAACGATGATTTTGACAGCCAGGGATGGCAGCAGAAGATTACTGAGCTTGAAACCGAACTTTCTAGCGTGAGAGAGAAGCTCCAAATGAGGGAGGCTGATCTTAAAATGGAGAAAATGCGGGTGTTTGAGCTGCAAAATCAGACAGTTGAGTTGGAGAGTCTGGCATCAGACAGAGAAAATGAAATTAGGAGATTGTTGGGAGACTTGGAAGTGACTAAGGAAAGGCGTAAGGGGTTGGACAAAGAGATTGTAAAGTTGAAGGATGAACATGCCCATAGAATTTCCGAAGGTGCTCATCAAATGCAAGGTCTGGAAGCCCAACTTGACTTGGAGAGAAAGCATGTTTCGGAGCTGGAGGAGAGGATAGTGAGGTACAATGGTGATATACTCGGCCTTGATCTTGAGGTAATGCAACTGAAGAGTGCATTGCATGATGCACAGGAACAATTCTCTCTTGAGAAAGCAAACCTGCAGGCTGACATTTCAAGTTTTTCAGAGAAACAAGTCCTTTTGGACACAAGAGTCGAAGAATTGAGCTTCAAAAGCAAGAGTTTGGACGACGAAATAAGGCAATGTGAAGCGGATAAGATGGAAATGGAAAGGCTGCACGTTGTCCGCGAGATGGCATTGCAAGATGAAATAAGCCGCCTGAAAGTAGAAGTTGCTGACAGAAATGGACATGTGGAAGCTGTAAATAAAGACTTCGACAGGTTTAAACTGAAATATGATATGCTGATGGCGGAGAAAGATGAGCTCAATGCTAGGGCTCAAACGCTTATGGCGAATGTGAGTTCCCGCGACAATCAGATTCAGGAAATGGCGGGACATCTTAGTCTGTTACGAACAGAACACGAGGGTCTGATATTTGGATCCGAATGTGCACATAGACTAGTAGATGAGTTGAAATCGAGAGTGGAGGAGTTGCAGCAAGAGGTGAATAGGCAGAGTGTTGTGATCTCGGATGGGGCTGAGGAGAAAAGAGAGGTGATCCGGCAGCTTTGCTTCTCGCTGGAGCACTACAGGAGCGGATACCAAGAGCTTCGTCAAGCATTTACCGGGCACAGGAGACGGGTGGTTGCAGCTGCGTAAACTCGGTTTCTTCCATGGAATGCTCTAGTGTGTTTAGGTTCACTTGATGTCTCTTGCATGATGTGTTGTGTTTTTGTTTAGGGTCAAATGGTCAATTCAGGTGGGTTGTTATGTCCATGTTTAGTTAATTATGATACTAAATGCTCTAGATTTTGAATGTTAAAGAACAAAAATGGCATGGAAAAGCTTTGCTAAAGGTTGATTAAGGTGTTAAACTCGTCTTCTCATTTGTTTAGGGGGTAAAATGGTCAAAACATTACAATTGAAAGAGATCTAATAACCTATTATCTCTGCCAGCGAACATACAAGGAAATAATAATAATAATAATAATAATAATAATGTTCATAAGGTATGAGTACATTATAATGATTATGTCGAGTGTAAGCTCTTGTAAAAAAAAAAAAAAAAAAGTCTTTTAGTGTGTTTCTAACACGAAAGGATACAAGTGGAAGAAATTCTTTTTTTTTAAATGTTTTTTCAATTGTATAAAGACATATAATGTACCCTTTGGTGTTTTGAACACATTAAAAAGTCTCTTCTAAAAAAAGGAGGTAAAAGTTAGAGATATCTCATAAGCCAATCCATTATCCAATAGGTCTTAATTGGATTCATTACCCAATTTGATCTCATGATAAAAGTCGTTCATTCTTTAAGTATTTAATATAAATCTTCCTTACAAATTTCACTCAAATAAAATAGGGGTGTGCTATCCACACACCCATTTTTACTTCTCACACATCCCTTGTTAATTTATGTCCGTTGATCTTTTTCATTTCATCCGATCTGACGGCTGAAAATTAGAAGGATGTGTGAGAAGTAAAAAGAGGTGTATGGATATCACACCCCATAAAATATTGTTTAGCCATTGAACAATTGATCAAGTATTTTATTAATAACACTGTTGTTTATTTGTGGTCGTAATTAGATTGTTAATATTTTTTAGGGTAAAAGACTGTTTACTACCCTCATGTTTTGTGGTTTTCAACATTTGGTACATCAAGTTTTTTTCGTCTCAGAGTCATACCTAAAGTGTTAATTTTGGGACAGTCTCATACATCCGTTAGTCAAACTGTTAACTCTGCCGTTAACTGATGATGTGGTGCTTATGTGGATAATGACTGGACACCACGTGTTATTAATGGGATCCACGTGAAAATTAAAAATTCAAAAAAAAAATAAAATTTGGCCATCTTCTTCCTCCCCCAACATCTTATTCCTCCCTTATCCCTCCATTCTCTCCCCCGACATCTTCTTCCTCCCTTATCCCTCCATTCTCTCCCCTGCACTAACCCACCAAACCTTCCTCTCCTCCCCTCTTTGACTCGTCATGCATCCACCCTTCCCCCTCCATCTTCGACTCCACCCATCCACCCACCCTTCCCCCTCTATCTTCGACTCCACATATCCAACCCACCAAACCCTAATATGCATTGTGCCCATTCTAGCCGCTCACCCTTTTCTCCCCAAAACCATCATTTGTATTTTCTTAATCCCAATTTTCTAATCATCTCAAAATTTCCACATCAATTCATCTCTTAATTTCAATAAAAAAAAAGGAACCGATTGAAACCCTACTTACCCACGGAGGCTGTAGCTTTGACTAAAACCTGTCAGAGTTTGTCAGTGTGTGCAGTTGTAGTAAAAGGTCATTGAAGCTACCTCTTGAAACCCAATAATGGCTCTCATCTCAGCTCCGCAACCATTCACCAGGTACTCATGCAACTCTCACTCCATAGATATGGCTTTTCTCCTTCGTGGGCTTTCTTCAAATGGGTTGAATCAATTCATCTCCTAATTTCAAAATTTCCACATCAATTCGACCCCCTTGGCATCTTGACGACTTAGGCAAGCTCGAGCAGGTCGAGCGTAAACTCAGGCCAATGGTGCCGGCGCTGGTGGCGAGCGCAAGGGACGAGCAGAGAGGGAGAAAAGAAAGAGGGGTTAGTCGCTGGATTGGATGTGAGGGTTCGAGGGAAAGCTGGGAGAGGAGCGACGCCAGTGAAGGAGGAGGAAGGGAGATCGTGGCTTTCTGTTTTCTGTGTTAGGAGAAGAAGAAGAAGGTTCGGGGAAAGAGAGACTGTGGGAGAGAGAGAGAGAAAGAGAGTCCCGACCCTCTGCGTCACCTGCAACCGCGAGAGTGGGGTAGTGAAGGAAGGTTTGGGTTGGGGAGTCGATAGGAAGATCTGGGTGTGGGTGGGAGGGTGGGCACAAGGGGATTTGGGAAGACGATCTGGGTTTTTTTTAATTTTATTTTTATTTTTATAACTTTTCTTTAAATAATTATTTTTTTGAATTTTTAATTTCCATGTGGATCCCTTAATGACACGTGGTGTCCAGTCATTGTCCACATAAGCGTCACATCATCAGTTAACGGGAGACTTAACAGTTTGACTAACGGATGTATGAGACTGTCCTAAAATTAACACTTTAGGTATGACTCTGAGACGAAAAAAACTTGATGTACCAAATGTTGAAAACCACAAAACATGAAGGTAGTAAACAGTCTTTTACCCTATTTTTTAATTTGAGGTCTCCAATATGTTTTGTTCAAATCATAATAATTATTGTCGACGTTCTTATGCTAGTAAAAATATTACATTAACTTACTAACTAGTCAACATTTTTGCTACTAATGACAGATCTATGATATTGTCTATATATTCAATAATATGTAACTTAGATTCCGCTTACTATTGTAGTTGTAATTACCCTAATAATTTTCTTTTTTTATTGCAAAAAAAGGATCAGATCGAGCCACGATAATCTATCTTTTTTGGGCTGTGAAGATTTAAAGAGGTATCTTTGTTACTATCGTGTCATTCGGTGAATTTGAAATTTGTCTCAACCATAATGCCATCCCCTTGATGGTTAATTAACCTAATAATTTAATTTGACTTGTTTTATATGTTAATCCCCTCAAGTCAAAATTTGGACCCATACAAAAAACATACCTACTCTCCTCTCCTAAAGTGCCAGACCTACGAATGCCACGTATGAGAGACAGCTCAGACACTTCCAGAAGCCCATGGGGATTTTTTTTAAGTGAAAACTGTCCTGGGATTTCCCAGCAAAAACCCAGAAATGGGATTGGGAGGAGGCTCAGTGGCCGAGGCAGTTGACTTTGACTTGGAGGCTCGGAGTTTACGAAAATACCTAAACTACCCTCCTTGTATAACGGCCGTGGTTGGCTAAATGTGGTAATGACTAAAAGGGAAAGGACACAAATTAAAAGCCTAGTATGGGAGGGGAGTTGGTATAAGAGGGCCTACCTACACTCTATAACGTGACGTAAATCAATTGTCTCGAAAAAAAGTTCTATAATTAGTTTGAGATATCATCACTTTAAAAGTTTGAATCGATCCAAGTATAATGTTATTATTGTAAAGTAGGATATCAATGAATTTTATTACACGAGAAATATTCTCATATAATCAAATACGCCACATATCAATAATATTAAATGGTGGTTATACTTTTGATGGTGGCTATACTTTTTGAATGTGACAAATATTTATTGGTTAGGTGACGCTACTTGGACTATGTTTTAGTTGTAGGAGATAATCTTCAATAAATTACAAGGATCTCACTAATTGTGTGTGCAGACATAGGAATAACATAGTTCTCTGACTGAACACAAGAGTTTCTCGTAACTTTAAAATTTCCGTTTCCCATAAGTTAATCTTGTAGGAAAAATTAGGGTCTACTTGATATATTAAATCACATAGAAAATCAATAAATAATTCATACGATTATATATCAAAGTAATGCATGCACATGAGTAACCAATGTTAATGAATATGACATAGTGGATTAGAAAAAACCTGGAAATACGGTTAAGGCAAATGTTGGACACTCTGTCCTTACAAATTTACGCCCCACTACAATTCCAAATCCTCATCATCAAATTCCTCTGTTTGGAAATCAAAGACTTAGGCCCCGTTTGGGATTGAGATGATTTTAAAAAAAGCCACTGTGAAAAAAAACTGAGGGTCATTTTTGTGTTTGGTAAACTGAAAAAAAATGGCTTATTTTGGAAGCTGCTGTGAGAATAAGCTGAAAATCAAAGGAAAAGCTGAAGCTGCTATTTGCTGCTTTGAAAAAAAACCAGTTTTTTCAAAGCACACGGAGTTACAGTGCTCCTTTAATGAAAAGACACACTATCATCCTGCTTTTTTTTTCCAAAAGCACTTTCACAAAAAAGTTTACCAAACACTCTACTGGCTTTATTTCACAGCCGCTTATTTCACAGCACAACCACTTATTCTCACAGCAGTTTTTTTTCAAAGCACAGCAATACCAAACCAGCCCTTAACCTTTTCCACACTCCCAAAGACTTTGAGGAGCTTTGCCATTATTTATTTACTCTTTTTTTTCAACATTTTTGCCAGACACCTCCCTCTGCCTTTGCCTTCTTCACCCATTTCATGAAAACCAAACACACCAACAAATTAAAAGGCTAGCATGCGAAGGGAGTTGGTATAAAAGGGCCTACCTACACTCTATAACGTGACGTAAATTATTTGTCTCCAAAAAAGGGTCCATAATTAGTTTGAGATATCATCACTTACAAAATTTGAATCGATTCACATACAATGTTATTATTGTAAAGTAGGACATCGGTGGATCTTATTACACGAGAAATACTCTCATGTAATCAAAGACGCCACATATGAACAATATTAAATGGTGGCTATACTTTTTGAATATGTGACAAATATTTATTGGTTAGGTGATGCTACTTGGACTATGTTTTAGTTGTAGGAGATAATCTTCAACAAATTACAGGGATCTCACTAGTTTTGTGTGCAGACATAGGAATGACAAAGTTCTCTGATTGAACACAAGAATTTCTCGTAACTTTGATATTACCGTTTCTTGTATGTTAATCTTGTAAGAAAAATTAGGGTGTACTTGTTATATTAAATCACTTAGAAAATCAAGAAATAATTCATACGATTGTATATCAAAGTAATGCATGCACATGAGTAACAAATGTTAATGAACATGACATGATGGATTAGAAAAACTTGAAAATACGATCGAGAAAAGTGTTGAACGATCTGTCTTTAAAATAAATTTACACCTCACTACAGTGCTCATGGTTGATCGATGGAGATCATTCATCTGTCTCTCTCTTCTCTGTAGTCTTTGGGCTTGGCCGTGTTACTGACGGATAGAAGCTTCTTCACCACGGAAAAAAAAAAAAAACCAATTCCCAAATCCTCATCATCAAATTCCTCTGTTTGGAAATCAAAGACTTAACCCCTTCTTCACCCATTTCATGAAAACCAAACACACCAACAAATCCATTACCTTTTTCTGTCTATCTCTCTCTCTCGGATCTTTCTGAGGTTTCACTTCTGTTTTGTTCAGGTACCGCTTCCTTAATTTCTTCAAATTCTGGCTCAGAATTTCCTGTTTTTATGTCTTTTTTGTTGTTCTTGTTGTTATTTCATGGATGTAATTTTTTTTTTTTGGGGGGGAATCAGCTTTTGTTCTGATACCATAAGCATGTTGTGATTGCATTATAGATTGTGTTTAAGTTCAAAGTTTGAGACTTTTTTGTTGGAACCGGAAACCCTGTTGTTTGTGTTGGACAAAGATGTCTCCTGAATTGACAACACATGTTCGACTGGTTCGATGTCCGGAATGCCGGCAGCTTCTTGCGGAGTTGCCCCAAACTCCGGTCTACAAGTGTGGCGGATGTGGCGTCACTCTCCAAGGTATTAAAAATCAAATCATCCCACTAATTTAATTTGCTATCCACTTTCTTGTCTAATTCATTTCTCACTGTAAACAATGACATATACTATTGAGGTTTTCTGCGATATTTTTATTGATAACGCGATATTCTGTTCTAAACTACTACAGTTTATGGGGCGGGAGATTCAAACTAGGGTGCAGGGGACCTGGCCAACTGGCCTAACCCCGTCAGCGAGATTTTCCGCAAGATTAAGATAAAAAAAAACTCTAAAATGCTAATAGATTAAAAGACTAAATTGTCTTCTAGGATTGCTTAATCTGTTTAATATACGAAATTGCATGTTGGACCGATTTCATTTCTGTCTATTGATTCCACGTTCTGAGTAATTGAGCTCCGTCTTTGTTCATCTGCACCGTTTTATGGATAATAATTGATTAACTTCCACATGTTGCTATTCAGTTTTTTAGTTTATGGTTCGGATTAGTTTCCTAAACCATCCTTCTGAATGCAGCGAAAAGTCGAATAAATGGACCGAGGAGCAAGAGCGCTAGCGTAAATGACACTGAGGCAGCTCAGAGGATTGGTTTCGATCACGCTTCTGAAGATGGAAAATCCAGAAGCTCAGGTCGTAATGCAGCTCTTCTCGAATCCGGAGAATGCTCTTCAGACCAAGACAATGAGTGGGATCAGATTATGTCTTCCGAAGGCAATGAGTCTGGAAATTGGTTTTGTGATGTGTTGTGTTTGTATGGTAGAAGTTTTTGTTTAGGGTCGATTCAGGTCGGATGTTAAATCAATGTTTAGTTTATTATGAGACTAAATGCTCTAGATTTGAATGTTAAAGAACAACAATGGCATGTAAACCCTTTGCTAATTATTGATTAAGGTGTTAAACTCAATCTTCTCATTTGTTTAGAGAGGCAAAATGGTCAAAACATTCCAATTGAAAGGGAACTAAAACCCATTATCTCTGCCAGTTAACAAAGGAAAATAATGGCCCCTCAAACCTATGGTTTGATGGTATTTCTCTTCACTTGGAAGTGAAAGGTCTTAGGTTCGAATCTTGTGGATGGCGAATTCGATACCAAATTAAATTGCATTGTGTGGTTTAGCTGAACTCCCCTTCCTTAGTTTAAAAGTATCGACATGCTCAAAAAAAAAAAGGAAAATAATAACAATAATGTACTCAATTAGGCATTAAGGGTGTCTTTGTAAATGTATGCAAATTTATTTTATATTATACATGCCTTTGTAGGATTAAGTAGCACAAATCATAAATTCTCACATGAGTGATTGTACGTAGTTGATGAGTTGTGATTATAAATACACTGACTCGCTATCGTAACATCATGGACAACTATGATGACATTGCTTGATTTTGTGAACTCTACGCATCAATGATCTACAATATAGATGACTATGCTAGCATGAGAAAATCGAAAGATTTTTCAGTGTGATTGGAACACGGAGTAGTACACCGCGTATCACTATATCAATAGTAAAATATGTGTGCTAAAAAGTTAATAACTTAAAAAATACAATTTCCCACCACTTATAAAAAAAAACACGTTGTGTATCACTCATGTTTCTGTCACAATGAAAAATTTATCAAAATAAAATCCTAAATAGAACAACTTGACCATGTCCTTGGTGAGATAACTCTCACAAACAAGCAAGACTGCTTTTTGCTTCTGGATCTTTCTCTCCCCCTTGGTTGCTCCAGACACGCTGGAACAATTGTACTCTCCATTTGCAGAACATGGTTTTTCGTTGCTCTCATATTTTTCGAGAAGGGAATGCTACTGCTGACAAATTAGCCAATTTAGGGCTTCTATCATCTTCACTTGTTTGGCATTCCACTCCCCCAATAGAGATCCTTCCTCATCTGCACTCAGACTTCTTGGGCATGCCAACCTACATGTTTGTCTCCTCTTCTTGATGTGTGTTCTCCTTTCTTTTCCTAACATTTTTGGTTTCCCGTTTGTTTTGCAGTTTGTCTTGCAGGTTATTTCCTTTTAAGGTTTTTAGAGGGGTTTGGGCTTTTGTCCGCCTAGTCTTTTCCTTGTATTTTCTTTTCCAAGAGGGGTACGGTCTATGTCCCCCCCTCTTTTTTCCGGTATTTCCTTTCTCAAAAGGGGTAAGGTGCATGTCCCCCCCTTGTATTTCTTTTCTATTGCTCTATGAGGGGTTAGGTTTATGTCTCCCCCTGTCTAGGTGTAACTTCTTTTTTCTTATCAATAAATTTCCCTCGTACCGCTGAGGTTCCCAAAAAAAAAAAAAAAAAAAAAAAAAAAAGCAAGACTGCTTGCATTCTTCCACCAAACCCCACAATTCCCCCACCCCACCCAACACCTACACCCACTTCGTACACTTATTAGAGCTACGATGCATATCATGTGATTAGGCTGCCAAATTAGAGTTTTTCATGCTAGCATTGCTCAATTTAGTGAGCCCTTATAAAACTTATGAAAACTTATGAAAACTTATTTCACCTCATATGGCCTCCAAATGCACAAGAGACTTCAATCTGTCTGTTTGGTGGATGTGGAAACTTAAAAAAAGGTAAAAACATGCGGACATTTCAATAATTATGTCGAGTGTTGAGATGCTATAAAAAGAGGTAAAGCTAATGAGTTCTCATAGGCCAATCCATTATCCCATACGTTTTGTTTGTTGGCATTCGAGTACAAATTTATGAGTGTGTCGGAAAAACGGTCTGGTACAACAAGTGTACTAATACAATTAGTTAGAACTTAAAAAAAAAATTTCAACCAATTGTACTAAAAGAAATGTTAAGAAGACTCTCTAATTAGTGGAACTTTGTATAGACTATAAACTCTATATCACATCATGTTTTATGCACAATATTTTATAATATTGGCACGAAAATTGACGTTAAATAGTAAGGTAGCAGAGAGTTCATAGAGAAGAGAGTCTCCTTAGCATCTCTCTTATACTAATTACACTTAATGCACCTGATCGTGTTCCCGCACATTAAAATATCTTTCCCAATTGTTTTTAGGGTTACCAAGAAGGACAACAAGGCATGCAAATGCAAAGCAAAATACATGGGAACACAAACAGGAATAAAACAGGAATAAAGAGAACAAAGGAGAAACGTTTGACCAAAAAATGACTTACGTAGGGGTTGAACTTGAAATGTCAGTCAAGTCCCCGCGTGGAAACATTCATGCGCGTCAGGATGTCGAAATCAAGTCGTCACATGGAGCAATGCTGAAACCTTCTTTCCCTTGTGAATGAAAAGCCATGTTTCCAAGCACGAGCGGCCGCGTCTTTTTCCAAGAGGTACCCTTGCTTAGAAGAAATCTTTGGTTTTATACTTGAGATTCATTAACTCACTTATAATTGCGCTCAAACGCTAATTAATTAATATGTTAATACAACATTAACTAAATTGGATTTGTTCCACATTTTAATCTCAAGAACAAAGTCATTCTTTCTTTAGGTATTCACTAAAAAAATATTTCTTGCAAAATTTCACTCAAATAAAATATCGTTAAGTTATTGAAAATTTGACAAACATTTCATTGATTATTTAGTACGTTGTGTTTGTCTATTTGTGGTCATAATTAGATTGTTAAACGCCTTTTAATTTAAGGTCACCAATTTGATTGGTTTAAATCATCATAAATATTGTGAAACGTGCTTATACCTGTAAAAACAAATATTGCATTAACTTACTAACTAGTCAGCATTTTTGCTACTAATCACATATCGTTTATATCATTTATACATTCAATAATATGTAAGCTAACTTCTGCTTACTATTGTAATTGTAATTAACCTAATAAAATTTTTTGGGAACTTTAACGAAAAACTTCTGGTACTGTTCACTTTAACGAAAAACCACATTTTTACACTAAAAAGTCAATCATAATACTATTCACTTTACTCTTTATTTTGTCTATATCGTTAAAACTAAAAGTTTTCAAATCATTTTTATTAGTTTTTTTTTCATTTTGCAAAAAAAAAGGGATTAGTTGGTGAAAAAGTCACGACGGTCCATTCTTTATGAGAATGGAAATTTCATAAAGGCATTTCAATCACCCCATAAGCACTATCATGTAATTCACCAACGTCGAAAATCATACTCTAAACAAACCGTGAAAATACAAACGTGAAATTCGTACCAATGATTAAGTCACCTCATAGTGGTTAATTAACCTAATATTTTGATTTGGCTTGTTTTATGTGTTGATCCCCCATTGTTAAAATTTGGACCCACCCAAAAAACGTACCTACTCTCCTCTCCTATAGTGCCAGACTTACGAATGCCACCACGTCCGAGAGACAGCTCATACACTTCCAGAAGTTTTGACTTCGCAAGCCTTTGTTTTTCTGGGATTCTTAATAGCCAATGGGGATTTTATAAAAGAACTGGCTTCTCTGTATTTTCACTTTTCATACATTCTTATTAAATCACATCAACATTTTATATTATTATTATTTTTATAAAAAAATTAATATAAAATGTTAACGTGATTTAACCGTGACCGCACAAAATAAGAGGATATGAGAGTGTATTGGAAGTGGGAGGGCTCATTTTATAAAAAGAAAAACTAATGAAAAGAGCTTGAAAACTTTGAGTTTTAACGATAAAGACAAAATAAAGGGTAAAGTAAATAGTACTGATTTGGCTTTTTATTATAAAAATATGGTTTTCCGTTAAAATGAACAGTACCGTGTGCTTTTCGTTGAAAACTCTCCTAGCATTTCCCATCAAAAACCCAGAAACAGGATTAGGAGGAGGCTGAGTGGGCGAGGCAGTTGATTGACTTGGATATATTGGAGTTTGGGAAAATAACAAAAATACCCTACTTGTATAACGGTCGTGCCGGCAAGGGAAAGAGTGATTGGCTATTACATGGCCAAATTGTAATCACCAAAAGCAAAGGACTCAAATTAAGAGGCTATAGAACCACGACAAGTAGTCTAGTTGAAAATTGCAGATATCAGCTCTCTAAAAAAAATGATAGGAGGTTCTTGATTTGATATTTTGTAAATTGTGAATTTGCTTGATTGTGATCATGTGTAGTGTGCAATTTCCAACTACTCTCATCTGAACCCGAAATAGATGGATAATCGTGATTAGTTGCTAGTTGTTCCCCCAAAATAAAAAATTAAAATTAAAAGGCTGTATTGTTTTGCTTTACATCGATTGATTTGAATTATGGGGAGGGGAGTTAGTATAAAAGGGCCTACCTACGCTCTATAACGTTGCCCTAACATTTTTGAATTAATAACATAAATTTTTTGTCTCACAAAAACGCTATATGATTAGTTAAGATATCGTCACTTTAGAAACTTGTGTCCGTCTAAGAATCATGTTATCCATGCTCCCACTCACAGCCAAACCGATTGTTTTGTGCTTGATTGGTTAAAGTGGGACAGTGGTGGATCTTCTCATGTAATCAATGACGTCACATATCAACAAAGTTAAACAGTTGTTATACTTTTTGAACACGTAATAAACATTCATTGGTCAGATGACTCGACTTAAACTGTATTTTAATTTCAAGAGAGAATCTTTGATAAATTACAGGGTTTTCATTAGTTTTGTCTGCAAGCATAACGATAACATAGTTTTTTGCCTGAACACAAGAATTTCTCGTAACTTTGACATTTCCGTTTCCCCATCTTAATCTCAGAGTTAGCAGTAAGATGACACGTCAACACTGACGCTTTAAATATGGTCGGCGGATGTATAATTCGTCTCTTTCTCTCTTCTCTGTAAGTCTTTTGAGCTTGGCCGTGTTTTTGACGGGAAGCCGTGGTCAGAACAGATAGAAGCTTCTTCGCCACGGAAAAAAAGACCAATTCCAAATCCTCCATCATAAAATTCCTCTGTTTGGAAATCAAAGACTTACCCTTTTCCACACTCCCAAAGACTTTGAGGAGCTTTGCCATTATTTATTTATTTATTTTTTTCAACGATTTTGTCAAACAAATACCTTTGCCTTTGCCTTCTTCACCCATTTCTCGAAAACCAAACACACCAACAAATCCATTGCCTTTTTCTGTCTGTCTCTCTCTCTCTCTCTCTCTCTCTCTCTCTCTCTCTCTCTCTCTCTCTCTCTCTCTCTTTCGGATCTCTCTGAAGTTTCACTTCTGTTGCGTTCAGGTACAGCTTCCTTAATTTCTTCAACTTCTGGTTCAGAATTTCCTGTTTTTATGTTTTGTTTTGTCGTTCTTGTTGTTATTTCATGGATCTAATTTTGTTTTTTGGGAGAGTTAGCTTTTGTTCTGATGCCAGAAACATGTTTTGATTGCATTCAGATGGTGTTTGGAGTTCAATAAGTTCAAAGTTCGAGACTTTTTCGTTGGAACTGGAAGCCCTTTTGTTTGTGTTGGCCAAAGATGTCTCCTGAATTGACAACAAAAGTTCGACTGGTTCGATGTCCGAAATGCCGGCTGCTTCTTCCGGAGTTGCCCGAAATTCCGGTCTACAAGTGTGGCGGATGTGGCGTCACTCTCCAAGGTATTAAATCAATGCATCCCCACTAATTTAATTTGCCATCCACTTTCTTGTCTAATTCATTTCTCACCGTAAACAATGTCATACTATTGAGATTTTCCGCGATATTTTTATTGATAACGCGATATTTTGTTCTAAACTACTACAGTTTATGGGCCGGGGGATTCAAACTCGGGTGCAAGGGCTTGGCCGACTGGCCTGACCCGTAAGCGAGATTTTCTACAGGATTAAGATAAAAAAAAAATAAAAAAAAAATTCTGAATTGCTAATAGATTAAAAGACTTAGTTGTGTTCTTGGATTGCTTAGTTTGTTTAGTATACGAAATTGCATGTTCTGTCTATTGATTCACGTTCCGAGTAATTGAGCCGTTTTATAGATTCGGATTTTTGGTTTATGATTCGGATTAGTTTCCTAAACTATCCTTCTGAATGCAGTGAAAAATCGAATGAATGGATTGAGAAGCAAGAGAGCCAGCGTAAATGACACTGAGGCAGCTCAGAGGATTCGTTTGGATCACGGTTCGGAAGATAAAAAATCCAGAAGCTCAGGTCGTAATGCAACTCTTCCTGAATCTGGAGAATGCTCTTCAGAAGGCAACGAGTCCAGCACCTCAAGTACTCCTAAGGCTGCTTATCCTGAACCAGGAAATTGCTTTTCGAAACAAGACAATGAGAAGAATGAAGACAAGCCTTCCGAAGAACAGAAATCTAGCATCTCAAGTCATAGTGCAGCTCTTCCATACCAAAACAATGAGAGGGATGAGAGTAAATCTTCAGAAGGCAACGAATCTATCAGCTCAAGTACTCATACAGTTACTTTTGTTGACTCGGAAAAAAGCTTTCCGGACCAAAACAACGAGAAGAGAAAAGATGCGGCTTTCGAGGACAAAGAGTCTAGCATCTCAACTCATAATGCAAGTCCTTCGAACCCAGGAGAGTCCCTTTCAGACCAAAACAATGAGAAGAGTGAAGATAAGTCTTCCGAAGACAAAGAATCGAGCTCTTCAAGTAATCATGCAAGTCTTTTGATGTCAGGAGAATCCTTTTCAGACCAAAACAATGAGAGGGGCCAGAGTAAATCTTCAGAAGGTAATGAATCTAGCAGCCTAAGTCCTAAGGCTACTTTTCCGGGAGAAAGTTTTGCGGACAACCAAAACAATGAGAAGGATCAGATTGAGTCTTCAGAAGGCAACAGATTTAGCAGCTCAAGTCCAAAAGCTACTTATCCTGACTCGGGAGAATGTTTACCGGACCAAAACAACGAGAGTGATATGATTGAGTCTTCAGAAGGCAACAAGTTTAGCAGCTCAAGTCCTGAGGTAACTTTTCCTGACTCGGGAAAATGCTTCTCAGAACAAGACAATAGCAAGAGTGAAATCAAGTCTTCTGAAGTTAAGGAGACATTACCAAAAACACGAAAAGGTGCAGAAGTATCAACAAATGATGGGAGCTCACGTTTAGGAGAAACAAGTGTGACGTAGACATCAACAAGGAGATTGATTCTGATTTCCAGAACTCAAATACTGTAAATCCAGGAGATGCAAGGGGCAGTAGTTCAATTGTTACTGCTCATACAGCCGTAAGGGGAAGCATTTCATTGGATTCCTTTAAATCTTCTCCTCATGGACGACAGGAGGAACTTCAGAATAGTGTTCCCAATGGCTTTGATCATGTAAGGTCTCCTGATGCATTTGAAAATATAGTTACTGCTCATATGCCGGAAAGGGAAAGCGTTTCATTGGATTCCCTGACATCTTCTCCTAATGGACAACAGGTGGAACCTCAGAACAGTGTTCCCATTGTCTTTGATCATGTAAGGTCTCCTGATGCATTTGAAAATAGAGTTACTGTTCATATGCCGGCAAGGGAAAGCATTTCATCGGATTCCCTGACATCTTCTCCTGATGGACAACTGGAGGAACCTCAGAATAATGCTTTTTCCAATGGCTTTGATCATGTAAGGTCTCCTGATGTATTTGAAAATACGGAGTTCTTCCCCAGCTTTGAGCTTAGCGGTGCACCTACAGATCCGTCAAAGTCCCCAGCAAATACAAGTCATCATGCATATGATGCCAGTGTTTCTTCTTATGATGGCATGGATGATCAGTTCTTCAACCGAACTACACGTTCAAATATTGTTCATTCTGAAGAACGAACCAGACGGGATAAATTCATGGCAAGTAGCATGATAAATAGAGATTCCGGATTGCAACATCAACCAACGGATCCCTGGTCAAATTTGCCCATGAAGAACGATCGTGCCATGAGATACAGAAAGTGGGATCAAGATGCATCACTGCCACCTAGAAGACAAGGTCATCCAAGCAGAGATTGGAACAGATTGCAAAGTGATGAATCTATGTATAGGATGGCTTTCCCTCAAAGAGTTTCCCAAGGTGGATACAAAAATGGAGGCCCTACAAGTCAACTGCATAACGAGTACCAGCACAATTCAGGCTACCAATCATCTGAAATGTCTGTGGAGGCTGAACAGGACAAGATGACACTATTGAGAATGGTTTATGAACTGCAGAATCAAGTTAACAGTTTGAATGGAAAGGCGAGTGGAAGGGTTGCCGGAGGAGCCACTTGGAATGAGAATAGCATGCCCCAGTACCGTAGCTATGAGGCATTCGAGAAGGAACTCTATCATGATCCAAACTATCAGAGGTATCTGAGAAGACACAGGACAGGCAGCCTCTATCCCCCCCAGCACCACCGCAAAAACATGCGCATACCTTTCTCGAGTGAGGCAACAACCAGCAGGCACCAACCTGATTCTTCATATTTGCATTATGGCCCCCAAGACTGGAAGTGCTCAGCACCATTGTCTCAACCCGTTCGTTGCAGCAAAAACGGGTTATGTAGGGTTCACCCTGGTCACAGTTGCTGGACATCCTATGATAAGTCTCGTCCTTCAACTCCCGAACGGTATATGGGATCCGATTCTCCTCTTTGGGGCCATGAAACAATGTCTGATGATCTAAGGCACCAATGGCATGATGCGAAGAAGTTTTACAGAGAGAAACAACATTTGGCTAAACGACATTTCCGCCCCATAGCAGGTGGAGCCCCTTTCATAACTTGTTACAACTGCTCAGAACTGCTGCAGATACCTGCAGATTTTCTCCTTTTCAAGAGGAGATACCATAGACTTCGATGTGGGGCTTGTTCGGAGGTGCTCAAGTTTTCGCTCCAAAAGAGAGCTCATATTGTCCCCTATGAACAGAATGCTATAGCCCCTCCGAGTGAGGTTGGCGACTATAATGCTGCCGGTAATGGCGGTAACTTGGCTCACCATGATCCTGTTTCATGCTCTGATGATTATGGTTATGGACCCTCTTACTACCATAGTTACTCTTCTGACGGTGATCCTGGAGCTTTTGCACCCTCCAACTCTAACCATGGTGATTCAGAGGACCAAAATATGTCACATAATTCATTGGATCCAATGAGAGAGAGGAAGAAGCTTGTTTTGAGAGAGTCTCAGAACAAAGAAAAGAATCCAATTGAAACAATTGTGTCAGCAAGACCGTCGTTATCCTCAGAAATCGAAGAGCTGCCAGCAAATTCGAGTTCACCACTTCATCGACTCATGGGCTACGCTTCGCCAAGCCTAGTGATTAGAGGGTCTGTAACATCTCGGACAGGGAGAAGCTCATACCCATTGCAGAGATAACTTTGAACTCAAGGAACTAACAGATTTCTCAGAGTACGATTATATGAAGCTCCCGAGGGTTTTTCTCAAACGGAAGAGCTTCTTCGTCTCACTTACCGGACCCTGAAACATTCCAAAGTTGGATAAAGTGAATAGAGCCCTGACGGAAGCAAAGGTTTCCGGGAAGTGATTCGACGACAGATACTGCCTTGTTTTTGCCATATCTACATGTTAGGACTTCTCTTTCGTTCTTTCTGATATAGCATCCCGCAAGTGAGTATATGTTATATGTAGAAATCAAGCTTTCGATTGTTGTGTGTGTATGTACATGTTTACCAGACTCCTATTTGATTTATTTGTTCATATGCAACATATCCTGTGCAATTTGACCAAAAAAAATAACACATCTTGTGCAATCATATGGTTCCTTGTTTGCTTCTAGTAGCAGTTATCAAAGAGAAGGATCCGATATGATAAATTCCTACGTTAACCCATACACGCTTTGCTTTCGCAAAGTATTAGATTACAATCTGTTTCTTGTTCTCGACATTGTTTCTATTGAATGTAACCCGAATGCAGGAGTACTTTTTATTTATATTTACACAAACTTACAAGAAGCTGCATCTGCACTTCCTAGGTTCATCTGAAATCGTTCCTGTAGTTGGTTCTCCGATTAGAAGCGATAGAAATCCTTTGGTCTTGGAGCATATTCAAGTCCGGGGCCAACAAACGGGCGTACCTGTCAAAATACAAAAGCTGCTTCAGGAGAAGTGCAAACTCTCGAGGAAATTTCAATCCATATGATTCACTAACCCGAATCTGGAATAAGAGCATGAAAGCAGCTCATGACTTCGGAACAATTAGTTAAAAAATTGATGGTATATGCTGCGGTGGTACCGATATATAATGCAGGCATGTAAACCTAAAGGGAGTCAAGGGCGTACCACATCGAGAAAAAGTGCATTCATTTGTCTCTCATCAACAACTAGATTTGCTGAGACAGCAGTTGCATTTGTAGATGGCTCCCTGGCAGTTGCTATATGACTACCTCTGTATCCAAATCCTGCACATGAGGAATTGTTAGAAGCGATGTGATTGTTATCAATAAGCTGGTTTCGATTCAAAACAAACAGCTATGCCACTTCCGTTCTATATTCTAAATTCGGTAATTTCTATCTATGGCACAGCTCTTTTAGGTAGCATTCTTTTTCTATAATGGAATATTTACGGGCAAGAAAAAAAAGTATCTTTTGGCTGCACAGTTCTGCGAAACATTATTTCCCCTCAGCTCCGAAATTGTCCCAGGAGAAGTACAGACCAAAAAAATAACCCTATTTGGAAAGCAAAACACAATTACCAAACTCCTGAGTTTAATGCTAGCCTTTATTGACGAGAACATCTTTTCCAAGTCACTTGCAAAGGCCTTAACATCAACGTTTGTGTCTGTAGCACCCATTTCAATCAGTGCAGAAGCCATTGATTCATATTCTTCAGTTGCAATTGATGCCAGAAAGATTTCCATGGCACCCCATGTTTTCGGGGATATAAGGCCAACAATTCCTGTAAATTTAAGTCAAACGCAAGAATGATTTCACTTAACTGAAAGGTAACAAACCAAAGAAAAAAATAACGTCAATAACATTTGAACTGTTGGACAAATGCAGAGAACTTCTAAAACTATCAAGCAAATGGTAGGTACTGCATTTTTAGGTATCAAAGCCAGGTTCGACTAATATCCGTTTAGAATGGAGGGTGCAATTATGATGAAACTCACCCGCTCCAACTGGGTTACGTGGAAATCAAGAATGGAGGACATGCTTTATTGTAAAGATCTCCATGAGCCAATTGAAGGTGTTAAGAGCAGGCCAGAAAATATGTCTGATGCCAATTGGACCAAGATGAATTGTAAAACTATTGGTACGATTAGACAATGGGTGGACGAGAGCATCTATCACCATGTGTCTAAAGAAACTGATGCGCAAGCTCTTTGGAAGAAGTTAGAATCCCTCTTTGAGAAGAAGACCGCTGCCAAGAAAGCATTCCTTATCAAAGAGCTTGTCAACATGAAGTATGCGGAAGATGTTAGTGTAACCGAGCACTTGAACAACTTTCAGAACGTGATCAATCAGGTAGCCACTATGGGTTTGAATATTGAAGAAGAGCTGCTAGCACTTTTATTGCTAGGATCCTTGCTAGATAGTTAGGAAACCTTCGTTGTAACTGTAAGCAATTCGGCTTCTAATGGTGTACTATCTATGGATGCCGTTAAGGATAGCATGTTTAATGAAGAAACAAGGAGAAAAGCTTCAGGTGCAGGCGCTGGACAACTCTTTGTCACAGAGAAAAGAGGCAAAAATTCTGGTGAGACGAGATTCAATGGTGACTGCCACTATTGTGGGAAAAAGGGTCACATGAAGAAGCGTTGTCGTAAATGGAAAAAGGAACAAAAGGATGGGAACAATACTGCAAGTGTTGTGACTTACGATGAAGAGCTTCTTTAATGCAGATGATTGATGGTTTTCTGGCAAAGAAGTCTATAATTGCCTTTGCCAATGACGATGGGTGTTGCGATCAGGGGGAGCCTAGTCAAGAGAAGTCTAATCAAGAGGGTCTTGGTTAATGAGTAGTTCGATCAATAGGAGTTTGGTCAAGAGGAGCAATCCTATTTTGGTATACCTTCCTCATGGTCTGGAGGGAGATTGTTGGGTTTTTTCCAGCCCATGATAAATTGTCCTAAGTCTATTGGGAATTAATAGTCTTAGAGGATTAAATTGTTTTCCCAATTGGAGTTGTTTTCCTAATTGGAGTTGTTTACCCAATTGGATTTAGTTTCTCAATTGGAGTAGGATTCATAACTAGATTCCAATTAGGATTAATAATCCTTATTGAAGAAGACCTTTATTATGTCTATATTAAGGGGCTATTGTACTAGTTTTGAAAAGGGAGCAAAACAATAAGTTGTATACCACTCAAGGGATTAGAGTGAGAGAATATTGTGTGTGCGAGAGAAAAGAAAAGAGATAGTGTATTTCTTGTTCTTGTTCTTTTAGGTTTTTCGTCAAGTCCTAGTTCTAGAGATTTGGCAAGATTATTGGTTGTACTCATTATTGATATAGTGAAAGATTGTTGTTGCTGTCCCGTGGACGTAGGCACATATTGCCGAACCACGTAAATTCTTGGTGTTATTTATCTTGGTTATTTGTTTTTCGATTTCCAAAGTTTTGTTCTTGTTTTTCCCATTCTTAAACGCAATATTCTCAACACAATATTTACGGGCAAGAAAAAAAAAGTTATCTTTTGGCTGCACCGTTCTGTGAAACATTATTTCCCCTCAGCTCCGAAATTGTCCCAGGAGAAGTACAGACCAAAAAATAACCCTATTTGGAAAGCAAAACACAATTACCAAACTCCTGAGTTTAATGCTTGCCTTTATTGACGAGAACATCTTTTCCAAGTCACTTGCAAAGGCCTTAACATCAACGTTTGTGTCTGTAGAACCCATTTCAATCAGTGCAGAAGCCATTGATTCATATTCTTCAGTTGCAATTGATGCCAGAAAGATTATGGCACCCCATGTTTTCGGGGATATACGGCCAACGATTCCTGTAAATTTAAGTCAAACGCAAGAATGATTTCACATAACTGAAAGGTAACAAACCAAAAAAAATAACGTCAATAACATTTGAAAGGTTGGACAAATGCAGAGAACTTCTAAAACTATAAAGCAAATGGTAGGTACTGCATCTTGGGACGATGCACGGTTGTTACAGAACAGACAATTAGCAAGTCTACAAAGATATACATTATACACTGACAAAAAAAATATCGATATCTTTACTCGATCCTTTTTTCTGCACAGTAGATAAAGTAAAAACCTTAAGTCATATTTGTGGAGATTGTATAAGCAACTGAAACATTGAAAGAAACCGACGACAATCACAACTATAAGTAAAGCAACGAGTACAATTGGCGCATGAAGATATATGAATACCAAAATCAAGAAACCCAATGCGCGGCCATCACGCAACAGCCACAGATTGCCTGCATGCACATCTGCGTGGAAGCTTTCACAGGCAAGCAAACTGCCAAACCTACAGAGACATTTCATAACAAGCGACAAGGTTGTTTGTTTGACAAATAAATGAACACAAAAACTACAAGCACATGAATGGTGGATAAAATATTCAAGTCCTACCACACATTAAGGGCAGTTATGAGACTGGTCTCTGGATTAGAAACAAAGGATACTGTTCAAGTCAGTCAGTAAGAGGAACTCCATACAGCCTCTCCATTGTTAAAATTCGTTTGCTGCTGCATTGGTGATACACTTTTGGAGCCGTAGCCTGCCTTGTGAGTCCCATAGCTTCTAAATATCTCCTAAAGGACTCAACGTTTGCAGCCTCCTTGTAGAAATCAACTTCTTCAATCCGGTATATCTTGCACAATACCAACCTACTGAAACGATGAACAGATTACAACGGAAACTTCTATCTTCCATCATTTTCCAACATATGAACCAAAGATGCTGACATCATCCCAAAGATGTTATGCTTTCACAGAATATAACTTGTAAGTTGTTGTAACTGAAGAAACTAGCAGTGTAAATTATTTCTAAGAGTATGAAAATAATTACTATGCTTATACCTGTCATCCAGTATAAGTGTTAAAGTCATTTGTTGCATATGAAGAAATTTATGTCCACATACCAATGAAGCACGGTTTATATCAGGATTCAAGAATTCCAAAATGCGGACAACAACGTAGATAAAATTGAGATCTGCAACCAACATATCTTCTATTCCGGGTTTCAAGATCTTTATTACTACATCTTCTTGGGAGCCTCTTAGCCTTGCACCATGAACCTAAACAAAATACATCACAATTCTTATTCCTAAGCTTAGCGAATGGTTTGAGGAACATGAGAAATTTGATAGGAAGAGAAAAGAACTTGTGCTATTGAGGCCAAAGCGAGTGGGGTTGGGTCAACATAGTCATAAACGCTTTCAATTGGTCTCCCCAATTCCTGACGCAAGATTGCTTGAATCTCGGCAAAGGGTACTGCAGGAGTTCTGTCAAAGCAGTTCTGAAATTCTTCGACATATTCTGATGGGAACAAAGTTGGAGCAGATGCAATGAACTACCATTTGTAAGTAGCATAGCATTAGTGATTGTGTACGTTGAATGAACAAAGATAGACAAGTAAAATAATAATCTTTTGCTAATTTACATTGGATATAATGAATAAAGTTATGGAGTGGCGATCAAAAAACAAGAATACAACAAGAGTTACCTGACCCAACTTAACGTAGGTTGCCCCCATGCGCTCAAACAATTTCCTCAAATAACGGGGGGACAGCAATCCAAGCTGCAGTTGGGTTGGTAATCCAGCAGATGAGTTTGCTGACTACAAACAAAAGGAAGGGTCATTTACAAGTATGCTTTTCAAGAGTTTGCTTATTCAGATAAAAGGGCTAGCATTAACGAATGCCTAGGTGTTAACAGAACACTCAACCGAGTGAAGTCTTAATCCCAAGTTATTGGAATTGGCCGTATAAACGCATTTTGTCATTGAGCCGTTTCAAGAACTATACCAATTGACAATTGAACAAGGTGAAAGCCAAGCAAACAAGGTTCCTGTTACCTTTGATACATCAGCAAGCCACTCCCCACCAACCCCAATAAACGCCTGAATACCTTGGACCATCCTAAGAGCGCCACGTGGACCTGTGCTTACTGATGTTTGGAGAATGTCCTCCACCAGTCTAGGCAAGTCTTCAAACCTATCTGGTAACAGCATGAAATTCCAGAGTCAGCTTAAAACCTCAAACGAATAGAGTGATCAAGAAAGAAAAGAATTCGAGCCTAAAGAACACAGATGCTCATGACGAGGTCTAAACAAAGGCGTGAATCAAAGTCTCCTTCCCATTCTGAGGTGATGCAATTAATTGATAACTGTCTGCCAAACAGAAGAGTTGTACTTCTACTTCAGCAGTTTTTACACCTAAGTTTCACTTCTGTATGTCCATGAAAAGGCAACAGCCAATCACTCACTAAAAGAAGTGAAAAAATGAACATTTTTCGAGGTACCCATCAAGCGAAACACCGAGAAGTTCGCAACTTCATGATTCAAAATATCAATGAGACCAGAGTATAACCATTAGCAGAAGTATAATCTACTATTCATGTTCATATAGGTAACAAATAAAATGTTTGAAAAAAAACCCATAAATCAAATAAAGATTTAAGCTTGAGATAAACCCAGAATCCAAAATCCAAAATGCAAACCTAAAATCCAAAAGCTAACGGGAGAGAGAAATTAAGCACCCTGAAGGCGGGAGGAGTAAAGATCCTGAGTTTGTGAGTAACGGGAAAAGAGAGTGAAACCCTTTGAGTTTGAGCTGCAAATGAGCTGCTTCGATGATTTTAACGAACCCCAACTACCAATTATCGACGACGACGTGGAGCTTAGAATCATCTGACGGCGGTGATGATGGTTCAGTGACGGCAAACGACCGCCTCTCACGGCTGAGACCATCGCCACAGCCATCTCTTCACTTCCACAACAACGAAAGTATCAAAATTTCAGGAAGTGAAATCGGAGCTTGGAATTTGGAAACCTTCACGACGTGGTTCTGACAATTGCTCTTCGTCTCTGTCAGCTTGCGAGTGTCTGCTAACTACTATCTCCGTCTCAGTCCCTCCATCGCTGAGAGAAAAAGAAAAAAAAAAAAAAACAAGAAAAATCTTTTGCATTTCTGTGTGACGTTAAACGAGTTGTAAGTGAAAGGGAGGACGCCACGTGGCTAGGCTTTTCACTGTTGGCGCCATTCTGAGACTTCTCCTCTTTCCCGCCGTTAGATTTCTCTCCGGTCCGGAACTGCTTCAATTTTTGTAAAACTGCGATTTGTCTCCGAGGCACAGTGGTTAATAACAAAGTCGTATACAATGACATGGGCAAAAAAAATAGATATGGGCATTTCACCACTTTTCTTAGCTAGAACGTTCTCCCATGGTTAAATATAAATTATTCATCTTTCGTCGAGAGTTGTAAATAAAAATGTATATATTTACATCTTTGGGAGATGTGAAAGTGTTAGAGATGCTCATAATGTAACTAAATTCCGTAGTACTCATTGGTTTAAAAAAATACGAAAAATGCGAAATTTGATACACGAAGGATACGACACCGAGGCCCAAAGTCCAGTTCCAAAATTTCAATCATAAAAGTTTAGACATTCTGTGTATTGTATTGGAATACAAGGTTACATACATAGTCAACCCAACAAAAATTCTGGACTAAATTTTTTAACTGTTATCCTCACTTCAGGTGATTCATCTACATCCACTGCAGAACTACTCAAGAATCAGTTTCTGAACTCAAAGTCCTAATCTGAGTTATGTTGAATCGGAATCCGATTCTGTATCCGATTTCCAGTCAGCTGGTTTATTCCTGTTTGTATTGGCCTCTAGTGGAGGAAGTCCATCATCATCGCTTGAGTCGTCGAGCTCATTGTCTTCTTTTTGGGAGGTATCTCCCTGCAAACTTCCATCGCATCCGTCTGAAACTTCGGATTTGAAGAGTTCTGGCCTGAAATTGGGCGGCAAAAGCAAATATAAGGAACAAAAAGATCACTAAAAGAATCTTAAGATCACATAAACACGTTAAACAAGAAGTGCCACAAAGGCTACGGATTTTACCCACACTTCCACGAGCAACCCTTTACCATCCCTCAATACAATTATGTGCAATGCGTGAAACTACGGTGGCTTGTGGATTACTATTTTACAAGAACAAAACTTTTTGACATTTTCAGCTTTCTCAAGTTGTGATACAATGCTGAATCAGTATACACTTAACCATAAAAAGAGAAAGTCAAAGCAAACATTGAGTTTGTTCGAGGGACATTTCAAAGTTCGATATGAAGTAACCGAAACATAAAAAGGTCATCGCACTATTAAATGTGTAAGCAACATAAGCTGCCCTTTTTGTTGAGATAGTGACCAATCATCTTAGGATGGGAAGAGAATACACACCAGTCTGGCGATTTCTTCAGCACTCGTACTTGTTCGTAAAATAGAACTTGCGAAACAATGCATGCCACCTTGCTGCCAGATTCAAGAACCTTCTCCTTCCCACTTGCATCAACCACAACATAACTCCCTGCCAATCGAAAATCGATTCAAAATTCCGCCTTTCGGCTACATTTGCAAGAATACGTTGAAATGAGATACGTATATAGGAAACCAACCTCGTTTAATCCACATGCTCTTTGAAAACTTAGCCGGAAACAGCGCCAAAGATTTCTCTCCCTTTGCATCCATTACCTTAAACAATTACAGCAGAATCAGAAGCAAGTTCAGCAATTCTAAACACATTATGCAATCAAGTTCACATTTTTCTTTTGGGACAGCCCAAACCCACATCATTTTTTTACAAATTGATCGATACCCACTACTGCATTTTCACAGAGACATCGATTTGGGATTTAGGGTTTTAAAAGGGTTTTTTATTTCCGGGCCAAAAACCCTAAAAATTGAATTGGAATAGAAGCGCCCACCTCGATGAGATTGGAGCCGCGGAGAGAAAGCACTTGCATTACAGAGTGACCATCTTCGAGCGTAAAGCTCTGTTGCTCCACCGCCCTCTTCAGATTCTTCCTTCCTCCTTTCATTTGGGGACTCAAATTAAAAACCCTAGTAATTGATCAAGACTCGGCCTTTAAACCCTATTTCCTGAAATCATCCCGATACGGCGCCGTTCGGGGTAAAAGATATGACGTAAGTAGCTGTAATGTATATACGGCGCGAAATTGGATTACCTTTTGTACCTATGCTAACCGACTTTATCTGGATTCAATAGCTGGCTGTAACCCAAGACAATATAACGGGCCAATCAAAATGCTAGAAACTGCAGAAATCCGAGATGCCGTTGACTTGGCCGTTACGTTAGGCTTAACGAAAAGTTTTTAAAAACTTTAGTTTTAATAAATAAATAAATAAGTAAATGTGTAAGTCATGGTCTAAAATATCCATAATATTTTGATATTTCATCGAAATTTTCGTGTTTTTAGACTACCGATATTTCCGATATCATCGATATTTTAGACCTTGCTAAGTCGCTCATATATTTTACCTTGCAATGTATAAAGTATAAAATATTGTACTAATTCATTATATATAAATGATTATGGTATGTTTAAACTTCTTTAATTAATTACTACATATTTTCTACACTCAAAATGTTTGCCAGCTCGCTATATAATCAACTTAAATCAATTATATCTATCATGCAATGCATTTCCTTCCAATTTTTTGTGATAAATTAATAGATAATTGACTAAATAAACATCCTGCAAAGTTTCAATAAAAATTTTCAAGTTTTTCTTACAATTTCCGTGGCTTTTATTCAATTTTTATCGATATCGATAATATCCCGATATTTCCATCGAAATTTCCGTATTTTTAGACTACCGATATTTCCGATATCATTGATATTTTATACTTGGTGTAAGAAAATAGTACTAGATAAAAATAAGATTTTTGATTAAAAATAAAGTATTCGATTAAAACTCCTTTTTTGTTTTTACGTTTTACAGGAGCACAGGATAACACGCAAAAGGTCGAATACAAAGTGGGCACCTTGCCGAGTCGCGATTCGCGCGTGAGCTCAGTACCCGCGAGGAGGGAGAGAGAGACCCCATGCCCGTCTCTTGAATCCACTGCTCACACAAACAAGTTATCAGGTTCGAAATTCTCCATAAATTCTTGTGTTTTTATTCGATTTTTAATTTCCTTTGAATTAATTAGTCGTTTCCGTTTTTGTACTTTTCACGTAATTACATTGTTCCAGTGATGAACATATCCGGATAATCAAAGTTCGTTAATTTAATCATATGGGGTTAAAATTCTGTGGCTTTTTGAATTTCCTGAATTTCCCAATTGTAATTTGTCAATGCTTCTCGAATTTCAAGGCAGAAGCTTTCTTTTTTGTTGGTTAAATTGTGTATTTAATTAGTTTTTAGTTTTTTTTTTTGGGTGTTTTGTTGTTTAATTTTTGAATGATGAATTGATAATTATGAATATAATCTTGGTAGTGATTACTTTCCATGTTTAGGGCGCATGCCTTATTGAGATTTATGGTTAATGATAATTAAAGTGTGTGCTTTTGAATTCAGAGTGTGTGAATTAGGTTTTTTTTGCTTAGAGTGATGGGTAGAAGGAAGCAAAGGAGGCCCCACCGATCCGGTGGGGTTGTATTGGAGAGTCGCAGCAATGCTGATCAGGCAGAATTGGATGGAATCAAGATTTCAAATGGGGAATCAGGAAAGAATGAACTGGATAAAGTTGATGAGCCGTATTTTGTGGAAGTTGATCGGTCTTGTTGGGTTTTTGACGAGCACCTTGATATTGCTGAAGTTGTTTTGACAAATTTGAATTTCGGAGAAGGGTTTTCTGGTGATGGATTGAGTGGGGATTTTAATCAGGATGATTACTCATTAAGGTTTCGAGTGTGCAACGTGAATGAGTTTATTGGCCGTATGAAGTTAGGCCATTGGCCTGTATTATCCTCTGCTGATATTTCTTTGGAATTCATTAAGTGTCCAACAGAGGATACGGGCGAGTGCTCGGTGATTTTATCAGGGAGTTTTGATGGACCGGATGAAGGTATCTCTGGTCTTGTTCACATGGCAAGTTTGAGGTTTATGACCCTAAGGCCAGTTCAGTGGGTTGTGTCGATTGATATGTCCACCATCACGGTTAGGGTGGAGATACTTAAGCGTGCGTTTGATGCTTGTCAGTCACTTCTGGACATGACTAGGCAAGTCTGGAAAAAAAGTATGAGGAATGTCATGGGTTGGCTTCATCCAGAAGTAATGACATCAGAGGCTAGGTACGGAGTCAGTAAATCAACAGAAATGGAAATTGATTTGCATACTGAAAATGGATATGCTAATTCAGACCCTAGTAAACTAGCAAGGTTTGATGTCTCTGGGTTCTATGAAGCCATTAAGCGATCAAAGTGAGTATCACCACTTTTCAATTTTATAGTCTATTTCCAACTTCTGAGGCTATGATGTCTATCAATCTTTGAGTTTAATTTCTATTATATCTTGTGTACAGAGCAGATGCAATGCTTCAAGCTGACATGCCCGATTTGCTTCCTGAGTTGAAGCCCTATCAGCGCCGTGCAGCTTACTGGATGGTACATAGAGAGAAAGGATATGCAGAAAGTCCGGTCGAAAAGGGAAACAGTCAGTTCATATCACCTTTATGTTTGCCCTTGGAATTTCTTGACACATGTTCAAAAATGTTCTACAACCCATTCAGGTAGTGGCTTTCTCAAATATGTTGGTTTACCTTTTAAGCAAGTTCTTGCGTTCTACATCCTTCTCCTCTTCCATCTCCTCCCTATCTAACGATTACTGTGAATTTGATAATGTATTCCAGTGGAAATGTTTCGTTGCACCCAGAGAATGATTCAGCTTATGTCTGTGGTGGTATTCTTGCTGGTAAATCCACTACTCTACATTTTCTTGCATGTGTTTAGATTTTTCTTCAGATTTTACAGATGTTGAATTTCGCTTTTGTCCGGAAATCTAGTTTTGCACACTATTGGCTGTATTACTGTTAAACAATTGAAGTTAATTCTGAAAACATGAGCGATCAGTGGTATTTAATGATGATATAAATAGAGTAATGCCTTATCAAACAATCAGAATCTATCACTTCTACATGACAATCTATTGTCATGTGAGTGCCTAGTTTTCTTAAATAGCTTAGTCATAAAGCCCTACCTGAACGAAAAAACTAGGAATGAAACAAATATCACAAGAAGTTGTTGGAAAATTTCCATTTACCAGCTCCTAAAGTTTCTTCTACCACATATTTAGTGAAGTTCTCTATCAACTAGTCTTTGGCCTTTTCAAAATATCTATGGCTGTTTTGGTAATAGAAGAAATATGCTTAATAATGTTTTATCTTCTTAAGCATTTTATATCTCATTCTGAAGGGAAGACTGGTGTTTCCCGAACTGCTTTCTGTGTGATGTTTTTCTTTTGTGACGATCACAGATGAGATGGGCATGGGGAAAACTGTTGAACTTCTTGCTTGTATATTTGCGCATCCGAAGTCGGCAGATGAAGACAACATATTTGCTGATTCTGAATCTCAAGCTACCGAAGATCAGAAAATCAATCTTAAAAGATTAAAAAGGGAGCGAGTTGAATGTGTATGTGGAGCTGTGAGTGAAAATATGTCATACACAGGATTATGGGTACAGTGTGACATATGCGATGCATGGCAACATGCAGACTGTGTGGGTTATTCAGCTGATGGAAAATCCATCAAATCCAATGAGGCCTCTCAAAAGCACCTGAAGAGGAAAAATACAACCACTGTAGTTGAAAGAGATGGAAAATATATTTGCCAGCTGTGCTCAGAACTGATACAGGCTACTAACTCTCCTGTGGCTACTGCTGCCACTCTTATAATTTGTCCAGCTTCTATTTTGCTCCAATGGCATTCTGAAATTATACGGTATATTTTATGCCTAAACTATAAATATACCGTATATTTTATGTTAATTTTGTTTTGTTAAACTGTATAAATATTTCGTATGCTATCCTTCAGTCTTCTTAGATGACTCATTTTGTGATAAATTGATTCGATTTTGATCGTGTTTATTGCTTAACATGGTATGGAGATGTTTCTGAATTATTTATCACCAGATCATGGATGTTGTAGCTATTACTCACTACATCAAAAAAAAATCCATTAATGAAAGATGTAAATCCTACTAACTTATCTTATCACCCCAGTCATACCCGTGCAGGTTCTTTAAAAACATGTATCTATGAAGGTGTGAGGGAGAGTTCTTTTTCAAACGCGTCGGAAATTGATATCAGTGAACTTGTTAGCGCTGACATTGTATTGACAACATATGATGTGCTTAAAGAGGACCTGTCACACGACTCTGATAGGCATGAAGGTGATCGGCGCTTGATGAGATTCCATAAAAGGTTCCTTCAAAACTTGTGATGTTCTTGCTTTTGTTTTTTTTTCTTTGCTCAAAAATTGGCTACACTAGTTTGAACTGATTCTTCAAACAATTGGATAAGATCTTTGCCTGATTGCTTGCAAGGATGTTGCATAATTTTGATGTTTTCCCTTGCATTAGGATGATTTGTTTGGAATGATACATATTTGGTTTAAAAATAATTTCCCAGTTTCCAGCCACTTATTTTATTAATTGCTGCCCCTCATCATGAACTCTTGTAGCAAATGTACTTAAATGCCATCATGTTCTTGTAAACGATCAGTGTTCAAGTTGTAAAGAATTTGCTTTATTTTCTTGTTTTCTTTCTCCTTTCTTATTAGGGTTTAAGTTTACATATTTCAGTGCTTTACCTTAGAACATCATTGGGTTGATTTAGAAGTGAATTGCTCTTGGACCTGTATTTTTCGAGATGATGACCTGCCATTTTGTTTTAGGTACCCTGTTGTTCCAACCGTTCTGACCAGAATATTCTGGTGGAGAGTTTGTTTGGATGAGGCTCAAATGGTGGAGAATAATGCTGCTGCGGCCACAGAAATGGCTATGCGGTTATATACTAAGCACCGTTGGTGCATTACAGGGACTCCTATTCAACGTAAACTTGATGACTTATATGGACTTCTACGATTTCTCAAAGCATGCCCATTTGATGGTTCTAGGTGGTGGGTTGAAGTTATACGAGATCCATATGAGGTATGAAGTTCAGTGCATCCCTTCGTTTTTCAATTCCAAATCTTTTCAAAAGTTCTAAGATGCTAGATAACTGGAACCATTAAGATAAAATCTAAAGTTTAATGTATAATTTTTAGCCAAGTTGACACTTTGATTCAAGAAAATACAGCGCATCCTTCTATTACTTTATCCACATTTAGGGCTCCAAGTGTTTTCTCATGATTTTCCCAAAGACATCATTCTTGCTTTCTCCTGCTAGTTTTAGTCACTTCCTTAATTTATTAAATTTGCCTTTTCAGAGGAAAGATGTGGCAGCTAGGGAATTTGCTCATAAATTTTTCAAGAAAATTATGTGGCGATCTTTGAAAGTGCATGTTGCAGATGAGTTGGAGCTTCCTCCTCAGGAGGAGTGCCTCTCTTGGCTCACTTTATCTCCAATAGAAGAACACTTTTACCAAAGGCAACACGAAACTTGTGTGAGCTATGCCCGAGAAGTCATTGACAGTCTGAAAGATGATATTCGAAAAAGAGAAGTCAGAGGTTGTTAATGATTATTTTGCAACTTCATTTAAGAGTCATTCTATAGGTAACCCTAAAGTTTGCATGTGAAGACGCAACTTTAAGGTCTGACATTTTTCATGCTTGCTGTCCAGGATGCTTAGCATCTAATGATTCATCAGATCCACTCATCACACACGCAGAGGCAGGAAAGCTTCTGAATACACTGTTGAAGCTTCGCCAAGCCTGCTGCCACCCTCAAGTAGGAAGCTTTGGGCTTCGTTCTCTGCAACAGTCACCCATGACTATGGAGGAAATACTAATGGTGTGTTTCTGTACTTTATTACTAAAAATTTTGTGATTGATTCTTTTTGTTTTATGGGATCTTGTTCTACAGGTTCTTGTAGGTAAAACAAAGGTAGAAGGAGAGGAAGCGCTTAGGAGGTCAGTCGTCGCTCTCAATGGGCTTGCCGGGATAGCTATACTCGAACAAAACTTCACCCAAGCTCTATCCTTGTACAAGGAAGCGCTGGATTTAGCTGAACAGCACAATGAGGATTTCCGCCTGGACCCTTTGTTGAGCATCCACATTTATCATAATCTTGCTGATATACTCCCTTTGGCAACAAACTGCTGCCCTTCAAAAGAACAGCTTCCTGGGAGCTCTAGGGAAATGGCCTCCAAGATACAGGGCATTGAAACTTGTGATCAACATGTAGCGAAGAGGCAAAAACTTTGTGGGAAAGAAGAAATTGCCAATGATGCCAGTAACTCACTGGAAGGTACATCTGAATTATCAGATAATGTTCCTGCTGCTCACCAAGAATGCGATAATGGTCCCCAGCCATCATGTAGTTCTTTCAGTGATGCATCTTTGAGAATAGCCTTTGACAATATTAAACAGAAGTACTTGTCTGTATTCAGTTCAAAGCTATCCATGGCTCAACAAGAGTTTAACAAGTCTTACACACAGGTATTTTTCGTAACTGCTTCCGTGTAGCACTTTATGATCCTCTATATAGGATTGTCTAGACAATCACACTTTGTATGCTAAATAATCGATGGTAGTTCATTTTGGTTCTCTTTCTTTTTTATGGTTTTGAGCAGGCTAAAAAAGTTCATGTATATTTTTTCCATATGCTGTTCTTTTCCAATCATCACTTTGTTCTCTTTATATGTTAACATTTAGATAAACTCTTTTGAAGGTTTGCAATGCAATCAGCGACAGAAAAGATCTAAGTACAGTTTGGTGGTTGGAAGCCCTTCTTCATGCTGAAAAGAACATAGACCTCTCTAGGGATTTGATGAGAAAGATTGAAGAGGCCCTTGTAGGAACTCTAAACAATGGGAAGTCATCGAGAATTGCCTCTCGGTAAGTAAACATTTGGTCCTCTGCATCGCATCTACTGCAGGGTCATATATTTGACTTTTTGCACTGTTTGTCTCTTCACCTGTATCTCATGAATGTTGCTCGTGGCTTTCAATTTCAAGTAAACTGAATCTAGCTGTCTATATTGTGTGGATTCTGATTAGTTGTATCCCTTTGATATAGTTTCCGAAGCATAAGTGGCCTGAAGTATCATATGCAGACTGGTTTGGACCAATTAGCAGCATCTAGGAAGACGTTGCTTGATCGACTTTTAGAAATTGATCAGACGATGGAGAAGCCAAAGGAGGAGGATATTCACCGCGTGAGAAACTGTCGAAATTGCAAGGGTTGTGATGATGGTCCTTTGTGTGTTCTCTGTGAACTAGATGAATTGTTTCGGGTTTGTTACACTTCTTCTTCTTCTTTTAATCCCTGTTGATTTGCAGTATGGCTTAACATGAGCATAGTTTTTACAATTTATGATTTCTTTACTAGGACTATGAAGCAAGGCTCTTTCGTAGTGAAAAAGTAGGCGGAGGGACAGCTACATGTGCTGAAGAGGCTGTGGCTTTGCAGAAGAAGAACTCTGAACTTAATCGTTTTTATCAGAATTTGTCGCAGCCAAATAAAGAGTCAACATCATCCAATTCTAATAAAGAGTCAAAGAAGAGAGATGCTGGAAAAGTTGTGGTCAGTCACTTTATCTCACTATTAGTTTTGTTCATCCTTAAAAGGTGCTAAAATGCAGCCGTCTTTCGTTTATACTTTAAATGTCACTGAAACTAAGGTAGATGGAGCTTCTATAACTTGTCCTGTTTATCATATTCGGATGATAGGTTTCAAAAGCTCCATCTGAATTAGAGGTTGTTCTTGGAGTTATAAGAAATCATTGCAAGGCCCAATTAGGGAGGGACGGTACATCAGAAGCCACAAAGCACCTCCACGCTCTTGAGGTATGTCCTGTATTGTAGTATTCTTTCAACAGCAACTATTTGACTGCAGCTCTGAAACTAAGAACTCCTGTAGTTAATGGATCATAGAACAGAGCCTACTCTTGCTAAACTTTTGTTGTCTTTCTTTGGGATACTAATTGTCCCGCTAATAGTATTCCCGTTGGGCATTCGCAAAATATGATCCTTTTTCTTTCTTACCTGGTTTAGGGCATGCGCAAAGAGTATCCCCATGCAAGATCCTTGGCAATAGCCCAAGCTCAAATTCTACAAGCTTATGATGAGCTTAACATGGCAACTTCAAGATTGCGCCTAGCAGAAGATGAGGATGATAAAGCTCTTGATGCTTTAAGTGAAGAAGAATTACCTTCAGCTAGCGTCCTATATACTAGCGACAAGTTCACATCCTTAAATTCGTTGTCTGTTGTAAAAGGGAAACTTCGTTATTTAAAGGTAGAAGCAAAAGTCCATTTTAATCATTCAGATTTAGATTTTCTTTTCGTGGGTGCAGAATTGTGTGTCCTTTGGTGGTATGCTTTGCGCACTGACCTTTCTACTTTTTCTGTGTTGAAACTTAAACTACATAAAAACAGAATGTCTTTGTTGTTGCTACTGTCGGGAGTCAATACTAACTCTTTTTTATTGTTCCCAGGGTCTGGTACAAGCTAAACAAAAGGTGCCGTTGCAAAGTCCAAATCCTTCCTCGGTAGCTGAAGGGGCAGCCACTATGCCAACATCCACGGAACAGAAAAATGTATGCATACCTACAGGCGATAAAGAAACATGCCCGGTTTGTCAAGATCCATTAACCATTCGGAAGATGGTTTTTCCGTGTGGGCATCTTACATGCTGTAAATGTAAGTATTCACCGTACCATCTCCATGATAAAACCGTTGCCTCAAGAAATAGGAGACATACTTACATTATTTTGTTACCAATAAAATGAAAACATGGACTATGGCCACTAAAGACCTTGAATGCTAGTCTGTATCTCCCAAAATCTTTACACCAGTCTTCTGCTAAAATCTCCGAGAGCCTTCCTTGGTTGACCAAAAATGTGATTCGGCTGACTAAAACTGTAGCTATTGGGAAACCTTATGTGAGTCATCAGTGGCAACCTTCTATGTCTCCATCTTGCTAATTGCCTTTTGTCCTACTTTTGTTATTATTATTATTATCATTATTCTTCTTGGTGCGTCTCTTCCTTGATAATTCGTTATGTTCTCTTAAATAACTGTCATTTAATTCGAGTTCACAACCGTTCCTGCTAGGTTTATTTGCAATTACTGAACGGAATAACAAGGTTCAAGATAAGTGGGTAAAATGCCCAACATGTAGACAACATACTGATGTTGGAAACATTGCTTATGCTGATGATGGGCAGAGTGAAACTAGTACTTCTTCTGTGCTTCATACAACCGAAAGTCGTGAAATGTCTGAAGCATCTGTTATGGTACAAGGTTCATATGGAACAAAGGTATGTGTTCTACTGTCCTCGATTTTGTAGGTGTGGTTTCCTGACCAAACAAATAAGAACTCTAGCATACCACTTCCTCATTTTCTGCTGACCCTTACCATTTATTAGTGTAGTTTGTGTCAGCAAGTTTAGATTAATGTTCATTTTTGGGGGTGTATTTGTGCAGATTGAAGCAGTGACAAGAAGAATACTGTGGATAAAGTCTACAGATCCAGAGGCTAAAGTTCTTGTTTTCTCAAGCTGGCATGATGTGCTCGATGTATTGGAGCATGCCTTCGCTGCTAATGACATTACGCATGTTCGGATGAAAGGAGGAAGGTAAGTTGCCATTACCGAATTCAGAGCGGATAAAATTTACCCAAGTTCGAATTCCTTCTCCTTTTTTCTAAATATGCCTGCTGTGTAAGTGCAGGAAATCACAAGTTGCCATTAGCGAATTTAAAGGCGAAAAGATAGGTGCAAAAGGAAATCACAAGATACGTGGACAGAAAGAGCAAAGATCTTTCCAAGTGTTACTGCTCCTGATTCAACATGGAGCTAACGGCCTCAATCTTCTGGAAGCGAAGCATGTTATTCTTGTCGAGCCGCTTCTCAATCCAGCAGTAGAAGCACAGGCGATCAGTCGGGTCCACCGAATCGGACAGAAAAGCAAAACCATAGCTCATCGTTTCATAGTACGTGCATCTCCCTTTCCGACACTTCTGTGTTTTGTAGAATAACTTGTTTTTAAGATTCACTGCCATGTTACCAGAATGCTTGTGAGAACACAGTCATCTGTGCATTTTCGATATTTAATCTCGCTTATTCATTTTTGTGGAGTTAGGTTAAAGACACGGTTGAAGAGAGTATATATAAACTCAACAAAAGCCGGAACAGCACTGCATTCATCGGGAACACGAAGAATCAAGATCAGCCTTTCTTCACATTAAAAGACATTGAATCCTTATTCGCAACAGTGCCACCCCCGGTACCAGAAACTCGAGGAAAGGCAACTGAAGTTCCCAACGAGAACCCAACGGAAAGTCTACGGCATTTGCCACCTTCTGTGGCAGCTGCCATAGCAGCTGAGAAGAGACATAAGGAGCAGCATGCATCTTCTTTGTGACCATAACTTAGCAGCTCAAGTTAAGAGAAAAGATATTTTGTTAGGCTTTTAACCATGTTTTTTATTTTTAATTAGGATTTTATTTTCGAAACTATTATTTTTCTTGTATATATTGAATCCTTCATTATTTATTGCTATTTTTTTTGGATGTCTGTGATGTTAATGGCACACATGCTAGTCACTAAATAATAAAATCTCTCTCTCTCTCTCTCTCTCTCTCTCTCTCTCTCTCTCTCTCTCTCTCTCTGTAGTATTCTTTTGGTCTAAGAGTTGATTTGCGGCCGGTACTAGTAATTAAATTAGTTACAAAGTTTGAAGTTTGGAAAGTATTTATATAAAATTCGTTGACCTTTCGAGGTCACAAGTAACGTATTCGAATAGATCTTGAAACTACGAGCGCATAGGCAAAAGCCGTTTGCGAGTCCGAATTATAAGGTATAGTTACGGACGTTTGAAGTTGTGATACTATAGTTTGTAGAAATTATTAAACTTCCACTTGTGAGTAAAAGAGCCAAAAAAAAACATATATTTGGGTTAAGGGATTAGACAGCAGGGAATGAAAAAAAAAAGGGAGGGGGTCTGATTTTTGACCCCTTTTTTGGGAGATATCAACCCGTTAACCCGTCAACTTGACTTGCTCATATTTTCTTCATCCGATCTCCGTTTTGGGTGATCTTGGTGTTCATGGAAAGCTCTTGACGAGCCCTACAACTCTGTAATGTTAGATTTTCCATTTTCTAATCCATTTTTCCAGTTCGAGGCAGCAAAGTCGGATGGGTTTTTCGGCGGTTTTGTCATTTTTCCGGTGATTCCGGCAACCATTTCCCTCAAGTGAGGTATGAAACTTCATCTACTCTTCATAATCTTCAAGTTGGTATGCTTGGTTCGTGCTTTCGTATTCGTTTTAGAGTTGGGTGTTTAGAACCCTAGAAACCCGATTTTCCCGAAGAATTTGGATGATTCCGGTTAGAATTTGTCATTGGTCTAGTTGTGAATAATGTCTCCCTTGTTGAGCTCTAGTTACCACGTGAATTTGAGCCTCTTGCGTTAAGGCTGAAAATTTGGGTTTTCAAACCCTTCACCATGGTTACCATTGCGTGTGGCGGTGCGTGGGACTATCCACGAGTGTTGTCTAAGTACCAAATACCTTTTAGTGACCCTGTGAACCTATGTCTAGCTTGGTTTCCCAAAATTCAATTGTTGGTGTGATGTGGAGAAATGTGAATGACTAATATGTGATATTGGTGATTATCTTATTTTCATAACTACTATCCTGTGTGGATATGAGATGGTTTTATAATTATTTTTCCTATAAAATTGTTAATTTTTATTATTTAACCATTGATGTAGTTTTATGGTGTGATTTGACGTGCATATTGGAAATATGGTTTGTATTGTATGATTGGATTGATGTGATGAAATGCGAGGGCTAGTAGTGAACCGTTAACCCAATGTTATGGGGTTTGTTACTTCGAAACATGTTTCAACCCTCGTGTCATTATTTCATTCTCGTTTCGTTGAGTCTTTGTACCATGAAGAACTTGATCCATGTCTTGTTTCATTGATTGGTGTTACACATTCTACTCCACAATTTCGTTAAGTGATGGTCCGGAATCGTATCCTGGTCTGGATTTCGTTGAGTGATGGTCCAGAATCCCTTCTACTCCGAGATTTCGTTGAGTGATGGTCTGGAATCGTATCTACTCGGATTCCGTTGAGAGATGGTCCGGAATCCCTTCTACTCCGCGATTTCGTTGAGTGATGTTCCAGAATCGTATCTAACTTGGGTTTCATTTAGTGGTGATTATGCATTGTACTTCGCGATTCCGTTGAGAAATGGTCCAGAATCGTACCCACTTGGATCCCGTTAAGAGGGTCTGGAATCCCTCATACTTCTTGATTTCGTTGAGAGATGGTCCGGGATCGTGTTCACCTTGGGGTTTATTGAATTTGAATGAGATAGCTTCAGAGATGACTTCAGCCGAACTGTGTCGCTTTAACCCTACTTTTCATTGTGTTGTATGAGATTATGATTGTGAGCTGTTGTGATTTCTTTCAGATGAACCATTGTATGTCTGGGTGACTCCCTCGGAGTTACAAAGGTTTGGTATTGATTCCTTATGAAGGATTTATATTCAAGAGATGTAAACTGTGATTAATGGTTGGCTTTATCATTATTATCACATCCTTGTATTATTGTCACTCACCCGAGCTTTGCAGCTTATCTGAATTCTTGATGTTGATGCACCATTCCCATAGTGTAGGCACTGATTGTACAGATGTCAGGTCTGAAGAGATTACAAGAGGTCGCTTGGTATTTTGGTTGGATTCTGTTGAGTGGTCTAGAATCCCTACGCTTGCTCATTTCCATAAAGGTAGTCCGACCTTAGAGTCGAGTGAATATGAATTGTTCACAGTAGACATTGTGTATAAATTAGACTTATCATGTTAGTACTTGGAATCTAGGTGGGGAATTATGTAGGGATCCTTTATTAAAATTTGTGAATTGATATGGGACCTTATTGATTGAATAACATAGTAATTGTAGATATCATGCATCTTTGATTTTTAGGATTGATTAAGTAGAATGATTGCGGAATGATGTGGGATATGATTGTTATTATTATGATTAGTCTCGTTGCTCAAAGTGGCTTGAGAATAATATTGTGCCTTGTTGGTTCTTGGATATATTACATGTGGTGGATTAAGGTTTCTTGTTGAAATCATAGTGATTTATACGATGGAGGAATGGAAATGTTGTTTGTCATGATTGTTATGTAGCCTTGAATCTAGTACTTCCATACTTGTCAAGTTCTAATGATTGATTGAAGAATGTTATATCTTTCGGCTTGAACGTACTGTGGTAAATGTAGATGGGTAGTGAATGATGAACTACAAATGGCTTGATCCCTGTTTAGGGTACGTAGATAGTCTAACGAGGAGGTTAGATGCAGCCATAAAGCTTACAAAAAATTATTATGTAATTGGATCTTGAGTTATGCCTTGTACATATCTCGGAGGCGGGATCTGTTAGATATACGGATGCTAGGTGACGTCACGCGTTGATCCTGGACATATGTTGGGTTCGGAGCGTGACAAGAAAAGACTTCACCTTTCATTTCTATATTTTCCTTTAATTTTTCTGATATTTCCATGCAACTAGTAGCCGCCGCAAATCAACTCTTAGACCAAAAGAATACTACAGATTTGTTGATGAAGAGTTGATTTGCGGCTGGTACTAGTTGCATGGAAATATCATAAAAGACTTCACCTCCCTTTTCTATATTTTTTCTTTAATTTTTATGATATTTCCATGCAACTAGTATCAGTCGCAAATCAACTCTTAGACCAAAAGAATACTACAGATTTGTTGATGTTTTTGACATACCGGTTAAATGTCGACAAATTGTCATTTGATATTCTCCAAAGTTTTATTTTAAATGTTCACATATTTTTAGCAAATTTTCATTATTTTCATCGAAGACAACCGATATCAATCTTGGTATATTCATCAATATTTTTACAAACTTGCGTATTGATATTTCTACCAGTACCTATACTTTAAACACTGCCTAGGTCTATTGCTACCGAAGTCCTAGTTTGTCCCTCATACAACGAGCTCAAAACTAAATTATTATTGTTCCATACAACCTGGTCCAAACTTTTAACGAGCTCAAAACTAAATTATTATTGTTAGTCCATACGACTTGGTCCAAACTTTTAACGAGCTCAAAACTAAATTATTGTTAGTCCATACGACTTAATCCAAACTTTTATCCCGAAAAAATAAATTGATTTGTCAAGACTGAAGAAGTCGTATTGGGTAGGTTTTATCAGCATCTCCATATTCTTCATGGGAACTGTGACACGGAATATGGAAGATATCAGAAAATACAAAACGGTGTGTTTGACCCGTCTCATTGTATGGTTTGTAGTAATTTCCATACAAAACGTAAAGAAAACAGGCTTCTGTTCAATTTGAAGTGTCAAAGCAAAAAGTTCTAAACTTGGAAGTTGGACAAAGAAATAGCAGGAAAAAGAGGCTTGACATTTTATCTGATTAGGGTTCTTCGTTGATGAGTCCCTTGCTTTTATGGTAGGAGAGACTTCAAAGCATCGGTTTCTTTCTTTTTGAGTATTGAGTTTCTTTCTTTAGCTAAAATATCAACACAAGAATCATTTTACTTTTGAACTTTATTCTGATAATCCATATAGAATTCATAAGTGTTTAGTTTATTCTGAAAACCGTAATCAAACATCTAAAATAAGGGATCATATCAAATTAGGTTGTTTATTGTGTAGTCTAGCCGAACTCTCCCACTTCTTTTAGTGTAAAAATATTGATTTACTAAAAAAAAAGATCATACCAATTAGGGGGCTAGTTGATCCGAGTTCGTTTATTTATTTTTAGTTTTTGAAATTGGGATAACTCCTCAGTTTGTTCCATAAGATTTGAAATCATTATAAATGGTTTTTGACTTTGTCAAACAGCAATCATGTATTCCGTAAAAAATTATGTTAAATAATAACTAAAATAACAAAAATACACTCAATTTAATAAAAAATGGTTCAAATAATTTGACAAAAATTGAATGTATTTTTGTCATCTTATTCTTACTTAATAGAGATTTTTACGGAATGACCAAAATTATTGATGATAGACAAACTCAAAACCACCACTATCAATTCCAAATCACAAAAACCAAAATGAAAAATTATGTAAATTTGGATCACCATTTTGAATAAATTACACAATAAATATTATAACTCATTGTCATGACAATTTGAAAATTCTTATTTACTAGTCATTGAGTCGTTTCTTTTATAATTTGACTTCTAGAATGATTCCCGATAAAACATTAAACAGTCGTTTCCTTGAATTTGAGAGATTTTTCAGTGTGCTCGTCACACGAGATGGTACACCACGTGTCCCTATATAAAATTTTCACCACTTGCATAAAAACATGTGGTGTACTATCCGTGTTCTCATCACAACTAAAATTTTCTCTTTAAATTGAATGAGGATCTCTCCGAATCCTCTTTGTAAGGATCACAAAGATCCTTTAATCATATTTATTCATTTTACATTGTGCAGTCATAAATTATTGTAATTTTTTTATTTAAAATTGAATATAAAAAGTACCTGACAAAAATTGACCACAATATACAATGAACAAATGTAATTGAAAGATTTCCAAAATCCTCATATCATCAGTCCCTTGAATTAGTCATAAACAACACACAGCGGCAAGGATTTGGAGTGCTAACGTGGCCCATGAAACTTTGACAAGTATGCCTCTTTGTGTCAACAATGAAGAAAAACAGACAAGGATTGTCTGCCCTCCACTTCCGATGCCTTCCTCGTGTCCTACTGTTTGTGTGGCCACAATTAAGTCACGTCAACATTTTATATTACTATTCATTTTTGTCTTATTATATCTATAAAAAAAACAATATAAAATGTTGACGTGGCTTAACCGTGACCACACAAAACAGGAGGGCACGGGAAGGGCATCGGAAGTGGAGGGCAGACAATCCTTGTCCAAGAAAAACATCGGATCTCAGGATATGAGGATCCTCCTAACCAAGCTCATCGGACCGTTTAAATTTTATCTAACGATTAAAGTTAATATAACTTTTAGAAGAATCTTTGTAGTAGTTGAATAAAATTTGAATAACCCGATGACCTTGATCAGGAAGATCCTCATCTTTAGTTCAAGAGAGAATCCTAATCCAAAAACATCTCAACATCTCACACCCTCTGCAAACATCATCTCGGTTCTCGAAACCTTTATCTAACACGTGCCTCCCCGCATGTCACGTGTCCAAGACAGGTGGAGCAACAAGAACACCGCCACCTCACACCCTCCATCCCCTATATATATCTATCCCAACCCAACGAACCCATTGACTTGAAATTTAGGGTTCGACAATGGAGATCCCTCTCTGTCGCACAAAAACGCACAACTTTCGCCCTTCCATCCTCCCCACACACACAGCCAGGGCCCCTACAACTCCCAACAGTTTAGGTTTGAGACCTAGGACCTGGCAGAATCATGGGGCGATCTTCAGGCAGCAAAGCTTGGACCGCAAGAAACCGGCGGTGGCGGTGAGGTGCGGGGATGTGGGTTGCTCATCCGAGGTGGAAAGCGAATTGGAGGCGGAGCTGCGGCCGGAAGAAGAAGAGGAGTGGATGAGGGAAGGGATGTGGAGCGAGAAGTGCGGGGATAGAGGAGTGGTGGAGCTTTTGGAGTGTTTGGAGCGTGAAGCGATCATGGGGGAAGACGAAGGCAAGGAACCTAAAGACTACCATAGAAGGGCTCAAATATTTTACAAGAGCTCTAGGGTTTTTCAGGCTCTCAAGGAACGTTCCCAATCTTGATTTTCCCTTTTTAATTTGGTTTTAACTTTTAAATGCTGTGTTTAATTTCTAATTAATAATCCAACCGTCTAATGTTTGTTGCAATTTACAATGATTGTTTTGATAATTTGCTGTGCAATGAATCAAAAACGATGTCGCTTCTTGTCGTATGTTTTAATTTCCAGAAGCATTGCCCTCCAGCTCTCTCCGATTCCGTGGGGCTCTCTCAGATTCCACAGCCCTCTGGCCTCTCTCGGTTGGAGACGGTTTACGGGTTATTTTCGATCATCTGGCTCTCTGGACCCTTCGGATGAGATGGCCTTAGAAGAGCTAAAAGCACTTCCAAAACGAATGGATTGTAAAACTATTCCGAAATAACCCAGTCTTATTCGGTATTTATCCACTAAAAGTTCATTAAAGTTCGGCAGAATTATGGATATCTTGATACAAAATTGAGGGTGGCTAGAAAGCTCCCATTTGTTTTTGTGTTTTCTAGATTATAAAAGTACTTTTTGTTAAAAAAAAAAAAAAAAAAAAAACACTTACGGTTCAGATTGTCCCAAGTGATGTACTGCCAAGTTCTTGAGGAAGAACAACGCACTTTTGGTTCTGGCCTGTATACCAATTTATGTCCTACCAAGTTCTGCAGGATGAATCGACTCAGATTCCTAACAAATATCTGTAAAGCATTTAATGTTTAAGCCTGAATTTTAATAACAAAATTAGTTGCGGTTCTAACAATGTTTTACAATAAGTACTTCTCGTAAAAGCATTCCCAAAGCGTACTCAGAAACACTTGCTTCAACATTGTCAAAAGCACTTGCTTCCACTGTCAAAAGCAAACCAACAACTAAAGCTTGTGTGCAGAAGAAAAATGATTTTCGCACTCATTTTGTCTTCATTTTTCAGTTTTCTAATTTTTAAATTGAATAAACTAAAAAGAACTCCGCCGTGTAAGTTTATCTTACATTGCCGGTCCCAAGCCCGGATAAAGGAGGAGGGGGAGGGCGTCAGGTAGTCGACAGTCGGCACTCCATGATTACGTCGAATCCTTATGAAATGAATCCAGAACGAAATCGCGCTAAAGCTAGGGCGTCACCCGTAAGTGGCGCACTGTGTGGCCCGAGCACAGTGATAAGTGAGCAAGGATCGCTGTATCTCCATTGGCACCCGGATGCAGTGTTAAATGAGCAAGGGGGCTATAGAAACTTCTTTTCGAACGACTCCACTCAAAGTTGTTTGGGAGCATATGCTCCTATCAACTTTACACGGGACACACAAAAGAAGTATTTTGATCCTATTAGACGGGGAAGGGTGAAGAAGCTAGGACAGAAGGGTAGAGTTCAAGAGAGCAAAATGCGTTTAGGAATGTGGAATATTGGAACCTTGACGGGAAAATCTATGGAAGTAGTAGAAGTTATGGTGAGGAGAAGGATAAATATTATGTGCCTACAAGAAACTAAGTGGGTTGGGCGTAAGTCAAAGGATCTAGAAAACTCAGGGTTTAAACTATGGTATTCGGGCACAAATAGAACGAGAAACGGTGTTGGCATCATCGTGGACAAGACCTTGACACAAGATGTTGTAGATGTCAAGAGGGTAGGAGATAGAATCATGGCAATCAAGATTGTAATAGGACAAGAACTTATCAATGTGATTAGTGCGTACGCACCTCAAGTAGGGTTGGATACGAGTTCGAAGGAGAAATTTTGGGAAGACCTTGGAGACTTGGTGCAAGGAATTGCTCAGACGGAGAAGTTATTCATAGGAGGAGATTTAAATGGACACGTGGGCAGGGAGACAGGCAACTATGGAGGTTTTCATGATGGCCATGGTTTTGGGGAGAGAAACGAGGATGGGGAAGCTATCTTGGATTTTGCAATGGCATATGATCTCTTCTTAGCCAACATCTTCTTTAAGAAGAGAGAAGAACATGTGATCACCTACAAGAGTGGGTCGTCAAAAACACAAATAGATTTTCTTCTAATGAGGAAAGGGGATCGTATAACTTGTAAGGATTGCAAAGTTATACCAGGAGAGAGCGTGGCTAATCAACATCGCTTGTTGGTGATGGATGTACATATCAAAAGAGTGAGAAAAAAGAACAAGACTTGGAAGTGCCCAAGGACTAGATGGTGGAATCTAAAAGAAGAAAAACAAGCCATTTTCAAAGAGAAAGTAATCACCCAGTGTGTGTGGGATAGAGAGGGGGAAGCTAACCAAATGTGGGATTCCATGGCTAGTTGTATCCGAAAAGTAGCAAAAGAGGTATTAGGAGAGTCCAAGGGCTTTGCCCCACACCAAAAGGAATCTTGGTGGTGGAATGAGGAGGTACAACAAGGGTGAAGGCTAAGAAGGAATGTTGTAAAGCCTTATACAAGGATAGGACCGATGAAAATGGTGAAAGGTATAGAAAAGCGAAGCAAGAGGCGAAGAAAGTTGTGAGAGAAGCTAAGTTAGCGGCTTATGACGATATGTATAAGCGACTAGATACCAAAGAAGGAGAGTTGGATATCTATAAACTAGCTAGAGCAAGGGAAAAGAAGACAAGGGACCTAAACCAAGTGAGGTGCATCAAGGATGAAGATGGAAAGGTTCTTGCTAGAGATAACGCGGTTAAAGACAGATGGAAATGTTATTTTCATAATCTTTTCAATGAAGGACATGAAAGGAGTGCTTCTTTAGGGGAGTTGAGTAACTCAGAAAAGTGTAGAAACTACTCTTTTTATCGTAGAATCCGGAAGGAAGAAGTGGTTGTAGCTTTGAAGAAGATAAAGCATAGAAAAGCAGTAGGCCCAGACGATATACCAATCGAAGTGTGGAAAGTTTTGGGAGAGACAGGTATAACATGGCTCACTGACCTTTTCAATAGGATTTTGAAAACGAAGAAGATGCCAAATGAGTGGCGAACGAGCACTTTGGTGCCTATCTACAAGAATAAGGGCGATGTACAAAATTGCATGAACTATAGGGGTATTAAGCTAATGAGTCATACAATGAAGCTCTGGGAGAGAGTCATTGAGCATAGATTGAGGCAAGAGACACGGGTTTCGGACAACCAATTCGGGTTCATGCTAGGGCGCTCAACCATGGAGGCAATCTATCTCTTACGAAGATTGATGGAAAGATATAGAGATGGGAAAAAGGATTTACACATGGTCTTTATAGATTTGGAAAAAGCGTATGATAGGGTCCCAAGAGACATTCTTTGGAGGATTTTAGAGAAGAAAGGAGTACGAGTAGCATATATCCAAGCTATACAGGATATCTATGAATGAGCAAAGACTGCCGTAAGAACTCATGAAGGACAAACCGAAAGCTTTCCCATAACTGTAGGATTACATCAAGGCTCATCCTTAAGTCTTTACCTTTTTGCGTTGGTAATGGATGAGTTAACATGACATATTCAAGATGATATTCCTTGGTGTATGCTTTTCGCAGACGATATAGTGTTAATAGATGAAACTCAGGAAGGGGTAAATGCAAAGCTTAACCTTTGGAGAGAAGTGTTGGAATCTAAAGGTCTTCGCCTAAGCCGATCAAAGACAGAATATATGGAGTGCAAGTTCAGTGCAAATGGAGGGCAAAACGAGTTAGGGGTGAGGATCGGAGATCAAGAAATACCAAAGAGCGATCGTTTTCGTTACCTAGGATCTATCTTGCAAAAGAACGGAGAATTAGATGGAGATCTCAACCATAGAATACAAGATGGATGGATGAAGTGGAAGAGTGCATCCGGCGTGTTGTGTGACCGCCGTATGCCACTGAAGCTCAAGGGAAAATTTTATAGGACGGCAAATAAGGCCGGCGATGCTGTATGGCACAGAATGTTGGGCGGTGAAGCATCAACACGTACACAAAATGGGTGTAGCGGAGATGAGGATGCTTCGTTGGATGTGTGGGCACACGAGAAAGGATAATATTAGGAATGAGGATATCCGGGGTAAAGTAGGAGTAGCCGAAATTGAAGGAAAGATGAGAGAAAATCGATTACGGTGGTTTGGACATGTGCAAAGAAGGCCTACTGACGCTCCGATTAGAAGATGCGACTATGGGACAGAGGTTCAGGGCCGAAGGGGTAGAGGAAGACCTAGGAAAACTTTGGAAGAGACCCTAAGAAAAGACTTAGAGTACTTGGATCTAACGGAGGACATGACACATGACAGAACACAATGGCGTTCTAAGATTCATATAGCCGATCCCACTCAGTGACTTGGATTTTCCAAGTCTCCAACCGAGAAGTTTTCCTCACTCGGGAAATTAAGGGAACACTACCTCAACCTACATGCTCCACTCACAAAGCTTCAACATACAAGCTTCAACAAAAGAAAATTCAAAGAACTTAGCGAAGAATGCTTTGGTGTATTTAACACAATACGTTGAAATGAAGGAAAGCTTATTTATTGATATCCCCGATAAGTTACAAATATGTACATATACTTGAGTCAAAATAAACAAACAAGAGGGAGCCTTCACAAAGGTTGCTTAAGAGAAGTCTCAGCAGTCGGTAGAGCCCCAGAAAGAGAAGGCACCGGAGGGGGATCATTCAGAGCCTCAGTACTGGACAGAACCCTAGAATGAGGAGGCATCAGATGTTGATCATTTGAAGCTTCATTACGCGGTACAGCCCCAAAAGACGAAGGCAATAAATGCCTTTGGAACAAACCCACAAATCTCTGATGATCAAGTAAAACCTGACCATCAGATTCCTTCATCTGGTCAAGCTTCCTCTTCATGTTTGTAGCATAGTCATGTGCGAGCCGGTGCAACTGTTTATTCTCATGCTTGAGCCCTCTAATCTCCTGTTTGAGACTCATCACTTCAGTCGCCAATGATTCAACTTGGCGGGTTCGAGCAAATAGGCGTTGGGCCATATTAGACACAGAACCTGCACACTGAACACTAAGAGCCAGAGAATCCTTAACAGCCAACTCATCAGACCGTTTGGAAAGTAGTCTGTTATCTTTGGGAGTGAGAAGGTTCCTGGCCACTACCGCAGCGATCATATCATTCTTAATCACGGAATCCCCAACAGTAAGAGGACCAGTAGGAGAGACGAAGGATGGGCGCCATATGTTGTCTGGAGAAGGCGGGGCTGCCTCTTCAACAAGGTTCAAGTCAAAACGACGGTCGGAGGGACCAGACATTTTCAAAGGTGTTGAAAAGAGAA